AAATAGTGAAGTTCTTAATAAGAATAACTTTTTAAACCACTGGTCACTGACGTAGAAGATTTTGAACCCTTTGAAATTTTGTCCTATGATCCTGTGTGTGTTCAGGATGAACTCCAGGGAAGATTATGCTTTTGTGGAGCAATGATAAGAAATCATTTAGGCGTTTCTTAAGGTTCTTTTATGTACATGGAAAGAGTACATAAACGATACATTTTTCCCCCTTATTCGTCCAAAGTGAAGGTATATTTGCTTTGCCTGCACCGTTAGCTAGATAATTACATCAGAAAATCTACTTGATTACCTTAAAGTGAATTTCCGATATTATTGTTAAAGAATAGTAACAAGTAATCTAACATTCTACTTAAGGGTGGAGATATTTTTCAAAACAGAAGATGACTACTCATAAGTAGTAAACATTTAAGTACAAAAATGAATAAGTATTTTCTTATGACTTCATTCTGTCTTGTAGGGATTGACAGCAAATCAATCTATCCAAAAAACTTATTTTGTTGGTTGCATTCAATTATCAGTATATACGAACAGTCTTCAGGTATTGAAACGTTTATTTGAGAGGGGCGAAAAGAGTGAATATACTACGAGGTCACTCAGTGGTTATTTCACTTAGGTAGTATTGACATTAATTTATGCCGGAAGTAGGTAAATCATTCTCTGTTACGAGTTACTCCATTTTTTCCACAGTCAGTTGATACGGCAAAAATCTTGAAACTGTGAATATCTCTAATTAAAAAGAAGCGAGCGTGTGATCAAGGCGTAGAATAAATGACTGTTAATAAAGGATAAACATTAGTGAAAGAAGAATTTCATGAGCGTATAAATTGCTCATAAGTAGTTAGGCTTATGTTGAAAGAACTCAAGAGTATTCTCCTACACTGCTAAGAAAAGGTAGGTGCCAATGGTTCCATAAGGAGTTCAAAAACTGAACAACTGGTGGACACCGACAGCATCCCATTTCAATGTTATCTATAAGATGAAAAGAAATCTTGGTTGTATTGTGTTCTCTGAGCTGGGTTGTTTCGTCGTGAAGCTTTCATCGTCCTTCTAGACGGCATCATCAGCACTATCTTCAGTATGAAGTGAGCTGTCAATATCTCTCCGTGAGTGATTTAGTGGCTTACCTTGACGAAGTGGTCTGTGGTCGTCTAGAAGAACGATGAAAGTTTCACGATTAAAGAACCCAGCTCAGAGAACACAATACAACCAAGACCATCCATCTGTGCTACAAATATCCTCCACTATTTCGAAAAGAAATCTCCCCAAGGTTGTTTGTGTTTGCCTCCTTCGTACTTCCAAAGACTTAGCTGTCCATACGGAAAAGCCACAGCTCTGCATAAAAAAACAGACTTGTTTAATCTATTCTCCTTTCATGATCATTAATCTTTAACCTTTCAAACTGCCCTTCCACTTCTTTTCCTTATTCAACTGTATTCACTTGTTACGAAATATCAACTCTTGCTCGTTTCCATGCTCCGCGATGATAATTCACTCTCCAATTGGTTGGTTAAGCTGCACAACCCCAATTAATGTTCATTTCTCTTACTTAACACTACGTCTTATCTTGTTTGTGACTATATCCTCTTGAAAAAACAAAACAATTTGCTATGAAATACTGAATATCCTCTTCAAGAAAATTCTATATAATTACAATTGTACAGCCTTGAAAATGAAATCACCGAGGCGAGAGAGACTCTTCGTTTCTATAAAACTTTCACAAATAATTTCCTATGGAGCTGTGGCTCAGGGGTTAACGGGGTCAACTCTCAACCAGTGGGCTGTGGGTTCGAACCCCACCGCATCTACCAATGTTCAACCAGGTAGGTGGTAACATCCCTGGTCCTCATACAAATGGTGCAACTCATTGACTACTGTACGAATGTGCACAAGGTGGCTAAATATGTTCTGTGCCGTTGCATATTCTATTCGTAATCTTGTTTTGAGATATGCTAGTATCTTTCTCTGGACTGGGTCATCGTACTCATATTTCTGAGTAGGTAAAGAGTTATGTCATTAGGTTTTAGTAGATGACTTCAAAGAAATGCTGTAAGGACATTTCAAACTTGTATAACTGACTCTTTTCTATAGGTTTGTTAAGGGAAATAGGTATTTGTAATCAAGTCAGTTTTATTCAATCGACGTAAATCAAAACTTTGTATTGAGGAATTGAATCATCTGTTTACAAATTATAAAATCTTATGTAAGCATAACACAATCATATGACATTGAAATATACATTCATAATTCCCATTGTGACATCAAAACACAAGATATTCAGCAAAGAGGACTCTTTTCAACCAATTTATTCTCAAGCTCTACGTACATTCATATATATACGTACGTGATAATTAAAGACAGAAATCCATCAGGAGGATTTAACTTAAATAATGGTGATTATACTAGTAACAAGATTGCTAGCTGATGACATAAAAGTTGAATGATAACAAAATGGAGTCAAGTAAGATATGTAAATAGTCTGTAGGGTGTGCATATTAGTTTACAAAATAGGTAAAAACTTGGTAGAGTTAATAAACAGTCAGCGGATTATGGGTTGGAATTCATTGTGAAATGACATCAACTGAAGGAAAATTGCAAACACCGGAGTACTAGACAGCTGTTTCATCCTAGTATACCACTCCTCAGTAGTGGACACACGTGATCCCACACCCCCACAGATCGAACGCAGGACCTTCAGGTTCCGTGACCAGCACGTTGCTATCCAGACACTGAGTTCGACCCCAATGCCCCATATTCCCAACTGCTGTTAGTTCACGATATAGCCCGACCTACATCCAATGCCGTCTTTGAGTAACTATCCTCATGTTCGAATCGGTTGACCCCACTGGTCACGACTTCTCAGTAGAACTTAGGCAATCACCCCTCTCGAAGCTAGTCGGCAGTGGGCACCAGATTAATTTTATCTGGAGGCTTGTGGAGGTTTATCGTGTACTGACAGAAGTAGGAAATGTGGACCATTCAATTCCAACCCAGTGGGTCAATGGTAACGTCCTGCACACGGAACCTTAAGGTCATAGGGTTCCATCCCTGGCAGGATAGGGTCATGGGTGTGGACTGCTGATAAGTCCCATACTAAGGGGAAACAGCTGTCCAGTGCTCCGATGTTTCCAATGTTCCTCCAACTGATGTCAATCCATAATGAATCCCAACCTAAGGTCAATCAATAAACTTCCACAAACCCCCAGATAGAATCAAAGGATTAGGTAATATGTATGAGACAAGTTTATCGGAATAAATTGAAGCATACTAAGACCAAGGTAAACATAAAGACTGTACACGCAAAGGTCAGACTTCAGTTCATGGATAGCCAACAATGATTTTAAGGTTGTCTATCGAATTCCCTGAAACATCTTACGTTTCCTCCATGTTCAACTTCTAAAAACAACAGAGGCTATGAATTGAAGCCTGACCTTTGTATGCAAAAAATGCATGTTTGTATAGTCTTTGTCTCTACCATAGCCATAACTTATCTTGGTCTTGGTGTGCTTCTTTCCCCTTTTTCTGTTCAACTTCCCCTCTTATATCATCATTATGATTATTTTTAGTTTTACATTTAATAGTTTCTGGTGTTACCTCATTTGATCTTCTTAATAACTGAAACTTTTAACAAGACATTTTCAGCGGTAGTATTCATCATGGACTAACATCAGTTCTAGGAACATTGGAAACACTGGATCACTAGACAGCTATTTCCTCCTAGTATTAGACTGCTTAGCAGTAAGCACCCCTTTGTAATCTTCATACACCTTATGAACTACTTAAAAATTTTACTTGAATCCCTTCTGTTATCATCCAACCTTTATGTCATCAACTAGCAATATTATAACCATCATTATTGTTGTTTCAACCTCCTATTATTAACGTTAAATCTTCCTGATGGATTGCAGTCTTTAAATATCACGTATATATCTACGAATATACGTACAGTTTGAGAGTAAATTGAAGCATAACTTTTTTTCCACGATTTTCCTTGGAAACCAAAATATTCAAACTAGAGACTTTGATTAGCATTGAGGTAGTGAAGATGGCAGCTGTTCAACGCATGATATTGATTGATATGCATGGTTATCGACTACTTACTTCAAACAGCAATGTTCGATCTCTGAACTGGTTAATTTCAGGTATACTACTTAGAGGGAACAATTGTTCCTTCGAGGTTGCAGGCATACCTTGCTGATAAATGCTAAAATATCCGAAAGCTATATCAAGCTGGGCTTCCTGCCAACTGCCTCCAACCAACTAATATCTATCAAAGTGTACCACAATATTTAACCTCTTAGTTTCGTAGCCACATAGCCGTATGACAACTAGAGGTTAATCACCACTCAGGATTAGACAACTTGACATTGGCTGCTCTCCAGTGACCGATCAGTGTATAGTGCTTATGAGCTTGTTTACAAACCATTTAGAGAGCACAGTCGATTAGTGAGAGTGACCTGCTACTACTACTCACTTATATCAGTAGTACATATGATAAAGCTTTCATATCAACATTTCATTTTCAATGAGTTTTTCTTACCTTCATGTGTGTAGCCGTACCAAAGTGGCCCAAGGGCCTTGATGGATGATAGATTTGGCGTCTGAAGCATTGGGTACTAGGTTTGACTCTCAGGGGAGAAACGTCATCACTCACTGGGGTGCAGGTATATGCCGAAATTCTTTACCTAATCTTTAAGCCACTACAAATCTTTTGCCTAGTGATGCCTCCCTCCTGAAGTCATTTGTCATAACCCAACGTTAATTTACCGGCAGATCAAAGTTCTTCCTTCCCCATCATGGAGTACATTTAATATTCCTACTGGTGCAGTGTTTAAACCGCTTTGAACGCATAGAATTTACAGGCTTAAAAATCAATATGGAATACTTATTTCTGTCCTACATTTCTTTAAGTTAATTTCGTTGAAGTTCAGTTTCCATTTGTCATGAGTCAAGGACTGTAAAATTGAATTCTTTGTATTATTCGATTCTAGGATTATGTGGACCCGTCTAAAATTGGATTAGGTCGAACATTCTATTTCAAAATTAATGGTTTACCAATATTTATTAAAGGTGCTAATTGGATACCTGCAAGATATATGCCAGGCAGACAATCTACACTGATGAGAAATATGACTACAGATGCTTTCTGGTTAGAAAAAAGACTTCTACGTTCAGCAGCTCTGTCAGGAGTCAACTTAATCAGAATATGGGGTGGTGGACGTTATGAAGATGATGAATTTTACACAGAGGCTGATAGACTTGGTCTAATGATTTGGCATGATATGATGTTTGCTGTGTCTACCTATCCGGATAAAGAAAGGTAACGTTTAATGTGACAGTACACAAAGATTATTGATCAAACTTCAGATTTTCTGAACTAAAATTATCTTATTTCTTCATACTTGCAATTTCCTATCGCTACACAGCATGGAATTGACCGAACTCTATTGGCATATAGGCTCCAATGAGGATGCCATGATAGTGCTGAACTGGTCAGTAACCTATGATTGGTTTGGTGGTGGCAAGCAGAGGAATCCAGGACTCGCGTTTCGTCCAATTTAAGGCTCATCAGGTGGATAGTGTCCCCATAAGGACTCGAGCCCATTACCAATAGGTTTAAACGCCAAAATATTATCTACTGAAGCATGAGTACCACCTCTTGTGAAGCAGCTGTCACTGTGGTGCAAATGAATCCGGCTGATGATTCCCAACCAGGACGAAACGCACCCACCACCATTTAAGTTAGGTTAGAACAACCAACAACTAGGAAGTATTAAAAGATACGGTTCTTACCTATACGATTTACCAGAATAAATGTACGCAAAATTCTTGTAAAGTCGGAAGAATGTTTGGTTTTCTCTTAACAGTATTTAATGGTTCTGTATTGAATAAGAATTAGTGCATAAATTTGCACACTTAGATTCGAGGTGATTTAATAGCAATCAACATATAGGCTACACAGACGCTAAAAATGACAAGTTCAGTATGACCGAACATATGCTGATAGCTCCAACCAATCAGATGACAACAAGTGTCCAGATAGCACCAGTCAGCCAATCAGAGGAAAGTAAGAAACTACACCTAAAACACCCACTACTTACAAGTAATATAGTCAATAACATGAAAAAATATCAAGTAAAAAGGGTGCGAAGGTAAAATTAAAGATATATGACCACTTAAATATGTTTTAAGTTGATTTCAAAGGTTAAAACGTGACAATAATGATGAAAATTGTATTCAGCTTAATAAGATCCTGAAATTCTCTTGGAATGTGATAGGGGATATCCTGATGACAGTCTTGTGTGACCGCTAGTTCATTCAGTCAGTAGAAGGTGGCTGAATGCTGTTGTCAAACGAAATCACGATCAGGCAGATAAAGAGAACTATATCTAGTGGATCGTTTAAGCCATTGGGGCACTGGTTGTATTTCTTGGTGGTACATGAGTATTGTCGAGTTTGGGTGATCGATACCATCAGATAATGATCATTATATCCTAGAAAACCTCTGGAAACTATCAGGATTAGATTAGGCTCAGTTTATTGACCAGTGGTATAAACTGTAGTGAATTCGAAAGACTATGATGCTGTTCTTGACGAAAACTACTTAAAAATCAATCAATTTCTTACACAATCGTGGAGCATAGAGTCTTCTGTGGTTGTAACCAAGCCTATTCAAAGAAGGGCTTCCTGCAGACTGAGTCCAGTCACCTAATAACTGTTCGAATTGTATTGAGATGGGAAGTCTCCTAGCTTGGTGACCACATTACAAATTTAATCGATTGAATCCAGTCAGCAGTTGGGACTGAAAAACATGAAACTGATTACTTTCTCCTAACAAACTAGTGAATGGAAAGTTTCCTATCTAGTGATTTACTTGAAGATGAGATTCCAGAGAGTTCTAAGGAGAGATTGTGACTGATATGACAAATCAAGTCTGATATGAGGCGAACTATGCAACGATGGCAGTGAATAAAAGTTACTTTGCGTTGCGAAATGACAGGAGTAAGATAATATGAGCCGTTCGGTTCCTACCTAGTTAGTCAATAGTAACGTGTTCCCCATGCAACCCAAAGGTCCTGGGTTCTGGCAGTGCTATGTAATAGTTATACACTTTGCTGAGAGGATGAAACACTTCTTTAAACGATGTTATTCTGTGATGAAAAGCAACTTGAAATCAATAAATAAATCCTCACATACTTCCAAATTAAAGCCATTTTACTATGATGGAATGGATTGTATATTTTCTATCCTATTTTTCGATCATATTTTCCTATTTAAATATCATTTACTCGATGTGAATATCTAGAAAGAAACTTCTTTACACTTTCTCTCTCTTTGATACATTTTTATTCATTCAATAGTAATGATACAGTTGAAAAAGAAATAAGAAGACAGATATCTCGACTACATTATCATCCATCGATTATTGTCTGGTCTACAGATAATGAAGTGAAACAAGCTATTGCCAATGGTTGGTATAGACCACCAATGGATCCTCATCTACTTGGCATATACAAATCTACATTTGTTGATTCAATATTGACTGTGATCAATGAAGAAGAAGAAGAAGAAACAAGTCGAAAACTAATAAACCCTTGGACAACTTCAAAGTATAAACCAAGAAGATGTCTTATCTCTTCACCAAGTAATGGATATCTTACAGAGAAGTTCAGAGGGTTAGATCCTGATCCAGATGTGAGCAGTATTATATAAAATAGTTTTTTAAATATAAATGTAAAACTTGGGCACTGTGACAGAATGTAATTTGATTTATAACACACAGTGAAACAGTATTATTTACTGGATGACGATGTTTCAAGCATAAATTATTTCTCATATTCATATCACTGTAATCACACTACTTTTATAGTCCTGTCACCACATGACATTCCTTGTTTCTATTGCTAGTAAAGTTTTCCATATCTCTGGTGTGGGTGTGGTCTCATTCCCATTACATGTGTTGGATGTTGGTTGATTCGATATACAAGGACTCAGTATTAAATCTCTATCTCTCTGTCTGCACCTAATTATATTGGACTTGATTGAATACAGTGGTATTATCCCATCCACCTCATTGTGTGGTTGTGTGTTAATGCATCCATTGCAATAGTCGAGAGGTTTTCTAGATTAGTGATCTTATTCGAGTCTGTCATTCTATATTTGGATAAATTACTATGTTGACCAATTCTTGTTGACGCCGACAGGCTAGTTTCACCTATGTACTTGACCTGACTCACAGTCATTACATGGAATCTGATAGATTAGATTATTTTGCTCAATTGGCTCCATCGGATCCTTAAGCCAACCGACATCGTTTATCTCTGAGTGAGTTTGTAGGTTCAAATGTCACCCTAATTTCAGCTTTGTTGAGAATCCTACGTAAACTTTGTGATGTACCTTCTTTATACGGTAACACAATGGAGGCTGTAAACTTATCATCATCAATATCAACATAGGACTAGGTATTACTGCGTAACGGTCCGAGTTGCCACACCTCATATCAGTACATCAAATAGAAAAGTAGTGAGGTGAAGGATGAAGATAAGAGAATGCAGTCAGAAGAAATATAAAGTAGGAGAATAAAGAAAGGAAGAGTGAGAAATGGTGAGATCCGGTATAGTGTCGTTAAGATGAGGATAATGTGTGTATACACACCACTGACATCAGCGCTGTGAACTCCTCACTACTTGTGTTATCTTTATTATTCGTTATCGTGTTACTGTTATCATTTCGTTACTTATGTGTTTGTATTAATTTCTTGATAAATTGCAGAGGATAATTATTAACTATTAGTGCTTTTTTATGTGTTTCAGTTCCTTGTTTATGTGCTTGCACTGACTAGTCAGTTTTCTAGCTCTATCATTTAGACATCTGAATAAACCTGCCTTAAGTGACATTGGATGAGACGAGGTGAAGTCTAATACCAATTGGAATGAGTCGGTTTTCTGTAGAGTCAGTAGTGGATACAATTCAATTCACTTACGAGGAAGAAAATCAACAAGGAGAATTATCTATGTTCGATTGCAGGGTAAAAAGAAGGACAGACTGTGGTTTAAGTACTACCATCTAGAGGGTCAGTTACAATAGCCAAACATAGGAATTTATCTAAATGTAAAATGATAGACCCGAATAAGTTCGATAATCTAGAAAACACCTGGCTATTACAATGCATGCATTAACCCACAACCATACAATGAGGTGGATGGGATAAAGCTATTGTACTCACGTTCAGTATAATTAGGTGGAGACATAGAAACAGAGATTGATTACTGAATCTTTGTTCATCAAATCAACATGCAACACATGTAATAGAAATGTTTCCCACCAACAGAAACAAAGAATACGAGGTGACAGGACTATAAAAAAGGAAATGTCCAAAGTTGTGTGATGACGTCGATATGATTATCAACGGTAATTCATGCTCGAAACGTCATCATTCAGTAAATAATACTGCCTGAATGTGTGTTATAAATCAAATAAACAAATCTAGTACGGAATTCCTTCACACCGTTTCCTATCATGACCAAATCTCATCATCCAGGAGCTTGAAATATGTTCACCTGACTGAGGGATCTGTCATTTCAGTTTATTTTGACTAGTATTACGAAGCTAAAAACAAATGAAGGAAGCTATGGACCTAGACAGATAGTGCATTGGTTCATTTTTCTTTGTAGATACACTTCGTTGATAAACTTCGAATATCATGAGAAACAGAAGTTTCTACAGATTATCTTCAAACCATCTAAAAGAATTTTAAATATAATGGTCATCGGTTTAGAATGATTTTGAAAATGCGAATACATCATAAAGTGGAACAAATATTTTCAACACAAGTGATTTTCCATCACCTCCTTCTCGAATAGTTAACACTATCATATCCTGCATTTGCCAAGGGAAATGTATTCATCTCTTTAGCTCTCGTTCTACGACCATTCTATAACGGCTAATAAACTGTTATGCCACCATATCACTTAACTGAACAGCCAACTTTGAGAGTGGCTTGAAAGGACTCTCTCGTAACTGCTGAGCTAACCAGTTACTTCCCTCTCTTCGAAGAAAAACTGTTTCCTAGCCGAAATTTCGAACCCTGATTGGTTATTTCAGCAATAGCTAAGGCGACCCCCTAAAGTCACTTAGCTTCGAAACTGTCAGGTGATTCTGTCCGTTGCAAACGATTTTAACGGTCAGCTTAGTAACGAGCTAATTGGTCAGTTATGAAAATCAACAGTCCTTTCGAAATATAGATATCTAGTTGATCATTTTCGTAGTTGCTAGTGTGGCTTTTAGAGTCAAGTGACTCTAAGTGGAGAAGTCCTCTAGGTGACTGGGAGTCAGTGCTCACTATTTTACATGCCAACAGGTTATTCGTCCTGTTATTGAGGAATGATGGTCACTCTTGCACTACAGACAGTAATTGTGTCAAAATGGAAGTCTGGAACCTGAATTTCATCAACAACCAATTAATATCAAAATTAAAGTGAAGAGGAACCAGGATATGCATTCAAGAAGCCCATACTCCAATAGAAACTGATCATTATAGTTCTGTAAAATTTTCATAAAATATTGGGAAATTACTCATAAATGACGGCGTCGACCAAGAAGTAATTTGGCAGTTGCTTCAACACTACGGTTTGAGTGCCACAAATTTTTATCAACCTCATTCAACAGCTACATAACCACTCCACATGCCAAGTGATTCACAGTGGAAAGCTCACTGACGCCTATGAAGTGAAGACAGGAGTAAAACAAGGCTACCTACTATCATCCATAATCTTCCTGATTGTGGTCGATAGATCACACAGCAAACAGTGAAGAGCGAGAAGAAGGGCGTACTCTGGACTGATGAAAAGAGCCTAGAAGATTTGGATTTCGCCTATAATGATGATGATGATTCATGTCTAATGTCGCATAAACTTGAAGATCTACAGGTGAAAACTAGCAAGTTGGCAGAAGAGGCAGGGAAAACGGGACTTCAGGTGAACGTAGAGAAGACGGAGGTGATGAAGATACCCAACCAACAACAACAAGCATCAATCATCATCAACGGGAGAAACTTAAAGGAAGTAGCCTCTTTCACCTACCTAGGCAGGCAGCATCGTTTCAACTACAGGCGGCACATGCACAGACGAAGATGTCAAAACCAGGGTCTGAAAGACAGCAAAACAAGCCTTCATTAATGTGAGATCAGTGTGGAGATCTACTTCACTGAACTGCACTGACAAAGAAAATAATAATCATAAAATTTTCATAGAAAATTGGCAAGTTACACATAAATTATGTTTTATTCTCATGATATATGGTAAATTGATTAATTTGATTTTCTTTAACAGAATCCACATTTTGGTGATATTCATTTCTACACTTATTCTGGTGATTTATGGTCTGAATCCACTTTCAAATTAGCACGTTTTATATCGGAATTTGGATTACAATCGATACCGAGTACATTAGCCTGGGCAAGATCTATGACAAATATATCTGATTCAAAACAATGGAATATCTTTGGTATACTAATGGAACATAGACAACATCATCCATTAGGCAATAGAATGCTTCTATTACCGCTTGAATATATTACAGAACCAGTTGAAAGACAAGATCCAATTCGTAATTACAGCCGGTAAGATGTATACTAGCTATCAGATGAAGATATTTCATATACTTATAGTAGAGATTCTTATTATCCTCTTCCATTCCTCAAATGTTTAGCAAGCTATCCACACTACGTAACCACAGCTCATACGAATGACTAGTAAGTTTCGCTTGATTAATATGCATCGATAAGTTCTCATAATGCAAGGTTGACAGTCCATGGACTACTTCGTGTATACGTATGATCAAGTCTTGAGTAGGTCATATGCTAAATAGCCTAGTGATAGAGCTCCATGGAGTTGATTCAAGTCTGCAAGAAAACATGAGTTTTGTTGAGATTAAAGATAAAAGTGTATGATGAACACTGACAAGTATGAAACTCTGGATCAAACTGGACTTCTTACTAACTGATACTCACTGACTTAGTGTTCCACCCTAACTTGGTCAGCGATTCTCATTGGGTCTTTCGAAAATCCATCTTGAGACAAGTTGCTGATAAGCAGTGAAGAGTGATTGATGGTCAGACTGGTTGATTTCAAGGCAGTTTCCATTATGGACTATTTGTTTAACGCCTAAAGCCTAGAGAAAGATGTAAGTAAAGCCCAGAATGAAACCAGAAACTTCCGCTTCTTCTCAAATCGCCTTTATCCAAAACAACAGAAATAAATGAGCCTTTGTATACGAAACAATTTGTTTCAACTGAAGAAGATACCATGAAAGTACAAAACCGTTACATGTTTGTTTAGACAAAGTTCTCATGTAACAAGTAAAGTGGATGAGACAACATTTAGAATAGTACACAATGTTAGTAGAAGAAGCATATTACAATGGGGGAGCATCATCTTGGTTGTCATTTTGACTACCTGAGACAGCCTCAGTTCGGCAGATTAGTATTTATACTGGATGATGACTGAAAGTGAAATGAAAATTTGAACCGCAGCGGAATTCGAACCAGATTTATTATTTTTCAATACAAGAGTGAAACCTCGACAATGTGGTAGATTGTTACCCCATTTTAGTCTGTTTATTAGAAATGTCACACAGTGAAACAGCAGTATCACCTACTGGATAACGTTTCGGACACAATTTATTGTCCATATTCATATCAGAAGGTGACTCCACAACTTTGAGACACAGTTTATGCAGTCCTAATTTTCTCTCCTTCTTTGTGATGAAAAGGGTATTAGAATCTTCAAAATATCTGATGCAGGTGCAGAATCATTTTGTGTTGATTCCATACACAAAGATTCGGTTATCAATCGCTCACTCCATCCAACGAAGTTAATCTTTAATACTGTCCCTCTATCCCACCCTATTGTGTGTAGTTGCTTGCAGAGCTATAGCCGAGCTTTTTTATAAATTCCGCATTTTATTAGGATCTACTAATCTTGATTCAGCTAAGATTTTTGTTCTGTTATTCTAATCGACCCTGGTCGATTACTTTGACCTACGTTTTTCACCTCGCAATTACTGAAAGAGATTTAGTAAGTCAGATTACTTTGCTTAACTGCGTCAATGCCATTTGAATTACAGTCTTATCGAGAATTTTATTGGAATGATTCTGTGGTGCCTCCTTTGTATGGTAACACAGCAGAGGCTCTCAATTCTCTCTCAACCCTGTTACTATCACTCCTATTAGTAGTAGAGTTTTTATTAATAACACCTGTGTTAGTACTACTACTGGTAAATATTCTCCTTTCGATTTCATATTAACTTATTGATAAATTCAGGTGGGTAATTATTGAGATGCAGAATATTCTTGATGTGTCTAGTTTTTTATCATAGATTTTCTGGCCTACTAGTCAGTTTTTTCGCCTTATCACTTAGGCATTTAACTAAGCCTACTTTAAAGGAGATGGGTCGATATGATTTGAAGTCTAAGTAGCAATTGGAATGGGAAGGTTTCCTACAGACACTAGTCTCTAAACTTCCGTCTCGTTGTCGTTTAATCTTCCAATTCAACATTGCTAGCTCACCTTCATCACTTTCTAAGCCACAGGTAAATTGAATTGCATTCACTACTGAATTTATGTGTCAAAAACCTACTGATGTGTTCCGATTCCAGTAGTGTAAATGTATCATCTAAATATTGAAACCATATCTTTGGAGTAGGAGTAAATGTTTGAAGGGTCATTTGTTACCAACTATCCATAAATATGTCTGAGACGATAGGGGATATTGGTGATCCCATGGCATCACCTTCAGTTTGTTTATATATTTTATTTTGAAACTTAAAAGTTGTAGACGTCAGGGACAATCGTACTCGTAGCATGATCTCCTCGACCAGCAGGTTCGATCGATGCGTACGCTCATTATCACCCTTAAACCCATTTCTAACTGGCTGTAGAACCATTTTGATCTGTATATTCGTGTAAAGGCCAGTTATGTGAAAACTAACCATTTTTCACTGTCGTCTAATTTATGCTTTAAGTCATAAGAATTGGTAAGTCGAGATTTTGAATGATTTCTTATTGGTAAATATTTAGGTAGCTTGTAAGTTGAAGTGTTTCTAGAGTCTACTATAGGCTTGATGGGAAAAACTGGCATATGAATCTTAATAACACCATACATTAAACTAAACCATTTTGACTCATCTAGAAACTGCTTCATTTGGCGCATCAGATCCCCAGTGGATGTTCCAACTTTATTCATTATAGTATACATTGGTTTCTTAATTTCTTCATATAGTCCTGTTTCGATATGCTCATTCACTTTATAGATGCAGTCAGACTTGTTTATCACAACTATTATGAATTTGATGATCATTTCAAGTTATAATTATCACTTGGAATCGATTTTTGGATACCTGCATCAATATGTTTGAGTAATATGCTCATATAACCTCTGAAATAGTATGATCAATTTGTAAATGATTGATAAATTGTAGTATCCACATTAATATTTCTCACAGTTGAATAGTTTTTATTGCAACTGATGACCAACTGTGATTTCCACAGGATTTTCATTTCAAACCATCAGTCAGCCAAAATCATCTCCAGTTAGGTAGTTGAAAAGTTATTTAGCTATGAGGAATTTTAACGTGGACTGTGCAGTTTATAAATCATTTACAAATTAATCATCCTATTTTAGGGATATAAGTCCATGCTAGTCAGCTAACCGGATTGAGATAACATGAACTAATTCGGCTATATGAGTTGAATTTGTTCGTGAACATCACTGATGAGGTCAACTGGAAGCGAGCGAAACAGATCATCTGGAGTCGTTCAGTAGTATATTTCTTGTAACCGCATTTAAGATGGATTGTATAACCCTTATACTGTGACATAAATTTGTTTTTTTTCTAGGGGGGTGGGGAATAGACTACGCACACCTAAAGGATCATTATTGAAGGTGTATGCTAGGGGAGTGTGGTCCCTTGGTTTAAGCATTAGAGATTCAAATAAAAACTTTCACGTCCATACACCGGAACATTCACTAACCGGTGTATGTGATATCCAACGGTCTCATGTACCATTAAATGTGACTGACAGTTGACAGCATAAGTTTATATCAAGTAGCTAAGTTGCAGAATAGACTATTTACTATAAACCACAAGTGCTCCTCTGCACTATAATGAGGTGATTCATCGGTATTTGTGTTATTTTAGTAAACGAAAATGTATATTTTCATTCTGAGATAGTGTTCATCACGGATTGACATCATTTGGGAAACCACTGAGGTCAGCTAGTCAGAAGGGAACCGTATACTATCTGAAGACCTTGGGTGATAGTCGCACTATCACGTAAGGTGACAGAAGTTGGAAAGTGTGAACCACTGAGCCATGACCCAGTGGGTGAATGGTCAGTGCGTTCTCTGTGAAACCTGAAGGTCTTGAGTTCGATCTCTAGCCAGGTCGTGGGTGCGTCCTGCTGAGCAGTCCCATACTAGGACGAAACAACCATCCAATTCTCTAAGGTTTTCAGTGGTTCCCAAAAATATAGTACGCATTCATTATCAGTCTCTCAGCTAGTAATAGTCAATCAGAAAATAGCAATGCGCAAATATTGTTCACCTAATAGAAATATTATTTTACATTTGGTCATTTTTGAGGAATTATTGACTGTAAGATAGCACTCATCAAAGACTGTCATCAGCTGAAGAATTATTGAAAACCCAGAAACAATGGATAACTGTTTCGTCCCAGGATGAAACTCATCAGCTGCATGCACTCAAGACCCTGTGGAGGATCGAGACCATGATCGCTAGGTTTGATGGCTAGCATATTACCCCCTCAACACTATCGTTTAGAAACCAAAGGTTCACATATTCTTACTCCTGTCAGTTTTGGTATGAAGACAAATACCAGCCAATGGCATTGCATGACCGTCACGCGTTTTTGAAAATTTACGAAGTAGAAAAGTGTGCACCGTTGGGTTTCAACCCAGTGACTGGATCATAGCATCGTGATCACTATGAGACCTGATATTGTTGGGTTGATTTTTAAGTGGAACCGTTGGTATACGCCACTGATGGGTTTCTTATTAGAACGAAACAGCTATCCAGTGCTCATAGATTTTTAATTGTTTTCCAATTGATATCACTGTATGATGAATGCTACTTTGAAATTATTGTTAACTAGACTTGATCTGTGAAATTCATGTCTACATCCACAGATAATGATTAAGGCTGATTGGGGGAAAACAAATTCTGATCAAATTTGAACCAGTTAGTTATCTAAAGCTTTAACTAATAGTTAATGAAATTTTTAACATTTTAGATGGGCATATATCAGTCAATTAAATCAACTTATGTGTTTACGTGCTCAAATCAATCTATATATGAGACATAAATGTCGACTTAAATTATCCAAATCTACAGTATTATTCACCGACAAATTGATTACAATGGGTACAATATATTGGCAATTGAATGATATTTGGTCAGCGCCTAGTTGGTCAACTATAGATTCAGCTGGTCAATGGAAATTATCACATTATGCTGCTATAAAAGAATTTTATAATATACCAAAATGGGGACGTATTGCTATACATAATAAAGATAAGAAGATAGTTGAAGCTGATTGGATACCAAATGTACAAAGTGAAGACAATATTATATTTCCTAGTGAATTTGAATTAATTTGTTATACTATTTGGTCATTTAAACCAATTCATAGAAGTGTATTGAACATCCCTGGTAAAACAAATCTTCAATGTCCAATAACAATATTGAACATAACTGTTGAAGACTTAAATAAATTATGCCATTTTAATGATAGAAAAGGTAGAATTCTACAAATTAGAATGAAGATTAATTCAAAATATACAAATTCTGATGGAAATCTACTACTCTTAGATGAACCAAATAAGATTAGGAAATGGCCTCAAAAAGCTGGTAAAGGCTTAACTTTAAAGTCAATAGAACTTGTTGAAGAAAATGATACTTTGTCAAAACTTCAACAAAATGCACCATTTCAAACAAATCACATTTATAAGTTAATTATTAAAGCTGAGTCACCTGAATTATTTGTCTATTTAGATTTAGATGCTAAGCTTGATGTAGAGTTTTGGTTCTCAACAAATGGTTTTCATATATTACATGAAAGACAGAAAACTCTGTACTTGCATATTTCAGTGAAAAGACGAATACCAATAGACATATTAAAATATTCTATATGGATTGAATCTCTTGCAACATTGTTGACATAAAGTGATCCAATGCAAATGTATTTTGTATCATTTTACACCTTCTTCTCTTGTAATAATTAATTAACAGCTACTTATTCTGCTATCTTTATTTTGAAGACATTTCAACTTTTTAACCGTTATTTTTAGTATATTGTTTTTAGCTACTTATAAGTAGCCAGTTTATTTTAAACGAAAAATGCGCCACATAATTCCAATTGTGGCATCAAAACACAAGATATTCAGCAAAGACGACTCTTTTCAGAGAATTTATTTTCAAGCTCTACGTACGTTTTCATATATACGTGATATTAAAAGACTTCAATTCATTAGGAACGTAAATAATGGGAGGTTGAAAAAGCAATAATGGTGGTTATAATGTTGCTAGTTGATTACGTAAAGGTTAAATGATAATAGAAAGGGGTCAAATAAGACTTTTTAATCGTTTTTAAGGTGTATATAGGTTAGAAAGTGGTGAAAACGTAATTTGAATGAGACAAGTGAATTGGAGTAGATTGGAAATGTTTTGTTAAAAGTTGCAACCCTAAGGAAGATCAAATGAAGTAATACCGGAAAATATTAAATAGAGAAATAAAAATAATGATGATGGCGATATAAGAGTACAAAGATTAATCTGACAAAAAGGGAAGTTGGAAAAAACGAAAAAGGGACGAAGCACACTAATACCAATATAAGTCAAGGCTAAGGTAGACATAAAGACTGTACATATGTGCGTCTTTTGCACAGAAAGGTCAGGCTTAAGTTCATGGCCTCTTCTGTTTTTAGAAGTTGAACATGGAGGAAACATGAGATGTATGAGTGAATTTGACAGACAACACTGAAATCATTGTTCGAGTCGGTTGAATGGTCGAAATGGATTAGATGTTGAAGGAGGGAACTTCTAATCCATTTCCTTTCACCCTTATAAAACCAGACAGGATTATCTTCTCATATACGTGTTGACAGTAATCTCTGACTATGGCGGATGTACCTTACTCCACAGAAACATATGAACTGGTAGATACACATGGAGGTGACCTGTCAAGGGATATTATCTTTGAAACATACAGAGAACAATTAACGACTAGTAAAGGTCCCATGGAGTTGGGGTGTAAATGTCACTTTTTAATTTCATATTCATGATCATAGTCATTTTAGAAACTGATTTGATGACTGGTTTTACATATCTTTCTAGCATATTCTTATCACCGTTTTTCGCAAGCGTCCGTCTTATAAAGTCAAGTCCAACTTGCACATAATCTGTGCTACAAACAGTACGTATACGATAACAGAGTGAGTGAATCAGATTTGTTTTCCTTGTGATCGTCATCCAACTGTAGAAATTAGTAAGCTGTCCTTTTTATATAGGCTTTCTGTAGATGGATCTTTTTAGCTTTCTATTGCTATGTATCATGATCAGTAGGTCAAGGAAAGGAATAGCTGATTCCAATTCTCTGTCTATAGTGAATTCCAACTGTGAGTTACGATTGTTGGATTCGCGTGAGATATCATCTAGATAGATATTTGAGTCACAAATAACGAATATATGTCGTGCATATATCGTTTATAGATGTCTAAATGATTAACAGTTTGGCTAAGGTTAGAATTTTTCAATTTTGACACAAAGCTATCTGTCATTAGGGGTCTCAATGGGGATCCAATTGAAATCCCATCATCGAAACTAAATTCTATATTGACATTGTTCATTGATAGAGTACAAGCAGTCGAAAATCCATCAAATTACTGGATGGCTAAGGTTAATACCATGAAAAAAAGAGGAGTCTGTTTTAAAGCACAAGCTATACACAGAAAATAAGTGAACATGAGTTGTTTGAATATGAATTCTATAACCCCGTTTTTATAGTATATTCTGTTATATATGAAGAGAGTTGTCATCTATCTGCGTTTATTGAAATCTCTTAACGCAGATTTATTTGAAACTACTTAAATGCGTGTTCGTCTTCACCCTCAACTGCCTAGTTTCATTACTCTCCCCTCATAATGTGTCCAATTATTACATGTAAGTTGATAAAAAAAACAAAGCGAAATGATGTCAACATGTATACAGTCAAATTTTCAACATATAAACCTTAGCTAATAATGCTCCTAAGGGATTTTACATAATAACATTGTCAATTTATGGAAAGTGCTAACCTTCAAATGAACCTTATTAGTAAATAATAATCAAAATGAAGCTTTCTACATCTACACAACACAACTTAACTATATCATATGTTGAGAAGACTAAAATAATCAACACTGTCTGATACAACTTTTTATGATTAAAACTATTGAGTCTGACAATGAAGAAGTTTTAGTATACATTGGCACTTTACAGCTGTTTATTTCAATTAATTAAAAACTGATAAGATATAAAATGCCTATTTTCGATAAGATAACGGAAAAGATCTGTAGCTTAGGATGGAAAAGATTTGATATTTTGTCGAGGATGTTTCATCACCAGACTTGGTGATATCTTCAACATTAATTTTATAGAGTAGTGAAGCATATTCAAATATTACGCCAATGTCCAGGTAGCGTGTTTTTGCTGACATTGAGTATTGTCCACTTATAATTTAAGGGGGGGGGGGAGGGGGGGGGGGTTAAGAGAATTTTGTCAAAACTCGATGTCAATCAAACTGGTGCAGAATCTTTATTAGAGTGAAATTTTACCACTTGTTACTGTTACATTGAGTACTATTATTGATTTTTGAGGTCAATTTGTTCTTGATTGATAGATGGCTATTCTCTTCTTAAGTAGATTGGATCTATTTCCAAATGTCTGTCGATTGACATTTTGTTGTAATGCCATGTTTGTAGCTATGGAATCAGCTATTTTAAGAATTCCCCCGGGGCTGAATTTGTGATCATGATTGTCTGCATGCATTGAAACCAAAGTGGCTGAGTCATGGCACCTTACTGCACAAAACCCTTTTACATACCTCACAATATCTTTCCGATTCAGAGACAAGTTATATACATAGTTGGCAAGAAAAATATCATTAAAGTTAGAACTGATTTAGAACTCTTACACTAAATTGAACGTCTAAATATAAACAAGTAAATTTTCTTCTACAAACATAACAAGAAATGGATTTGAGCAGCACTAGATGACTTGGAATTCCTTAACAGTGAGTACCGATGGCCCAACCAAGGATCGAACCCTGAACTTACAAGTTCCTTGACCTGAATGCTACCATTGAGCTACTGTGTCAGGATCAGCTGATCCACATTTCCTACTTCTGTCAGTTCATGATGTTATATTATTTTATTTGTCACTTGGGTTCCTAGTGGAGCTTTGGACTTCAATAGCACGTAGATACTTCACTTTCTTCTCTCCAATCTTTTTAACCTGGCTCCACGATTGCCCACAAGCTTTCATTTCTTCCTCATATGATTTCCTCCATGTCACCCTTAGACGCCTAACTCGTCGTTGATGTGTGTTTGCAGTTTGTTGGAAATGCTTCTGGTAACGCGCCAAGTCTATCAACCATTACATAGATGCACTGACTTGTCTAGCTTAGTGTTGAAAATCCGGATCTTGTTCACACTTTATGCTGAGTGCAGTCCAATGCAGTGGAGTAGATAGATCTCCAATCCTGGCTTTGACGTTCTCATCTGTGCCACCACCTGTAGTAGTTGAGACGATGCTGCCTAGGTAGGTACGTGAAAAAGACAACTTGCTTTAGATTTCTCCCGTTCATAGTGATTGATGTTGTTGGTTGGGTATCTTCATCAGGATATAGCGTCACCCCTATCCAGTTCCATCGTTCAGTATGTGTCCTCACATCCGACTTGGTTGGGTCCGCCAGTCACGACTTCTCATTTGAACTTCAGGAATCACTTCTCGAAGTTGGTCACCAATGAGCACTAGGTTAGTTTAATTTTGAGGGGATTTACTTATTGATTTCAGGTATTCATCACAGACTGACAGTTATAGCTTAATATATGAACTAAGCTTAAAGTATACTGTATTATACATTGATTCATTTCACCTACTCAAAGAGATAAGTTCAGCAGATAAATATGAAAGTCGACTGCTGAAGTACATAGAATGTAAGACATTTGTTTTGTATCAGTTCATCAGTAGAATACTAAAGATATCAGTCTACAGTTAGAGATCAAGTCTCAATGAGAACATCAATGCTAGAAGATAAGAAAGTATAAATTATGAATATCGAACTAATCACAATATCTAACAATGACCAATCATGAGATAATTTGTCCCTTTAATGAATTTAAACAGGGTAATGAGAAGATGGAGACTCTCTGAAACATATGGTGTAATCGTGAGATACATTTTAAACAATTAGATAACACTTGAACTTGTCATTTGATTGATATGAAATCTCAGAAAAGGTAAATAGAGTCAATGAAAGTGCACACACACACACATACATCGGGAAAAGTGATTATGATAAGCAGTTGACAATGCTTTAACATTTACTCATGAAGCTTCATAAACAAATAATCTTTAATACTTCAGTAAGTGTAGGTGATAAACATTCTTCTTGATCAATAGCAAAACATATACTACAAACTGGTGACAGGATTGATATGAAGACAGCTTTTACCATATTGTGTAGATTTGGTCAAGAAGGCATAGTTAGATTCATTGATGACCTTGCGATCTATAGGTTCCATACGCCCCTTCACACATCCAAAAGCAGTTTGTGCTCACAATAAACCTACCTTGATAGTATTGATTTTAATGAATCATATTGTTCGTGATATGGGTGTGAATTTTTATTGCTCTTCCTCTGCCTTCATTATCCTTCCTTACCTGTAATTGCACTAAACTTCTATTGGGTTTCTTCTATGTAAGTCATGTTAGAAATGCATAGCGTCTGCATACCTCACATATTTCAGATAATCTTCGTCTTTTCATTATACTACTTAGACGACCAATCATTCTAATGTATATTATTATTATTATTTGTCCCTTGGGTTCGTAATGGAACATAGGGGTTCACTAGCACGTCTCCATTCCACTCTCTTCTCTGAAATCTTTTCAACCTGGCTCCACGACAGCCCAGAAGCTCTCATTTCCTCCTCGCACGATCTCCTCCATATCACCCTTGCCTCAGACTCCCAGCTCGTCGCTTCCCATGGGGATTCCACTCGAGCAACTGGCCTGACGCGTGATTCCCCAGTCGACCATCTCAGTGCATGCCCAATCCATCTCCACTTCCTTCCAGTGCACATTTGTTGAGTGATAGGTTCTTGGTTGGTTCGTTCCCAGAGTTCCCTGTTGCTTATTCTTATTATTCTGGCCATCTGATCTTCAGTGACGAGCCAGCGTAGGCAGTTGTTGATGAATGTCAGTAGTTTATTGGAAATGCCTTTCGTAACGCACCAAGTCTCTGAACCATACAGAAGCACTGACTTGACTGAATTGGTGTTGAAAATCCGCATCTTGTTCATGCTTTATGCTGAGTGCAGAAGATCTCCACACTGGTTTCAGGCTAATGAGCGCCTGTTTTTCCGATTCTGGCTACTTTGACGTCCTCGTCTGTGCCACCGTCTGTAGTTGAAACAGTGTTGCCTAGATAGGTGAAAGAGACTACTTCCTTTAGGTTTCTCCCGTTCATGGTGATTGGACCTTGTTGTTATTGTTTGGATATCTTCATCACTTCTGTCTTCTCTATATTCACTTGAAGTCCCATCTTCGTTGCCTCGCCTCTTCTGTCAACTTGTTAGTTTTCGCCTGTAGATTTTCAAGTTTATGTGACATTAGACATGAGTCATCAGCGAAATCCAAATCTAGGTTCTTTTCTGCGGTCCAAAGTATCCCCCTCTTCTCGCTCCTCACAGTTTATTGCATGATCCAGTCCACTACAATCAGGAATATCATTCTGATGTAACTGACAGTAATAAACATGAGGAACCAACATTATTCATTGGGGTTGAACGCTATTTTTAAGCCTTTCTGGAAACACGTGTCCCATTGCCATTGCATCATCAACCGTTTCGGTATTTATTCATTGGTTCAAGAGACTACGATGCAACACGATTGATTGTGAAGGGTATCAGCGATTTAAAGCTTCGTATAGGGATCTGTGTAATCTTACCGCAAACTATAACAAAAGGCATTCCAATGAACTGGAAGTATAAGGTTAGTAGATAAAAAGTATATTGCCAATTGGATTAGATACTTAATATAAGTGAATAGACACGCCAATCTCAGGTTGATTTTAGACAGTGCTACTTGAAGTCATCAACCGCAAGGTAATAACAATTAAACACCCAGTAAGCTACTCATAGTTATACTATAAACTTTTTTGCACCACTGCACTGAGCTGATGTCATTCAGCCTATACAGAGCGGCTTGCTTAACTCTTGGGCTAATAAAAAAATTTTTTACATCGATTATATTCCATCAAATTCTTCTCTTTCAGTTTGTTGTAATCTTTTAAATGTCATCTGAACGCATCATCCATCCAGATCAATCTAGGACCAGGCATTACTGCGTAACGGTCCAAGTTGCCACACCTCATATCAGTAAATCAAGTAAAAAGACAGTGACGTGCAAGATGAAGATAAGAGAATGTAGTCAGAAGAAATATAAAGTACGAAAAGAGAGAAATGAAGATTTGGAAAATGGTGAGATTTGGTATAGAGCCGTTAAGATGAGGATAATGTGTGTATACATCTGCACCACCCACATCGGTTCTGAGCCATGTGATCACCTAGAGTCTCCAACCACTGGTTCCTCTTCTCCCGTGGACCCCAACCGGCTAATCTGCATCGCCCTACATGGTTCATACATTGGTGCCATGTTTTAGTCTGGCCACCTCGGGCGTTTTTCCAGCCTGGACCTACTTCGACCAACATTGTGTGACGAGGCAATCGGCGACTAGGCATACGTAACACGTGTTCCAACAGCCATGTCAACTGATTTACCTCTACTCCCTAAAACTCTACACCTGACTTCTGCATTACTCACGTTGTGACACCACGGAATACGGCCTATACTACGAAGACACTTCTACGACACATTGGCAAGTGAAGCACAACAGGCGGCTGGTAGGGGAGACCTGACACTTATGTTATTGCCTTGTCTTATGATACATGATTCCAAGCCTCTATTCATATCTTAGTGACTAAATAAAGTAGCGGTTATATTATAATCGCTTCATTCCAAACAACATGGATTATTCCAATAAATTTGCTTCCCGTACAACATTTTTAAAAGGATAAATTATTACATCTGTATACTGTTAATACTAACAGTGATGAAAGTATAAGAGTCAAACGGGCAGGTACTCTAACATCTAGTCTCGAATTTTGATTGTGGCAGTTCGATCAACCAGCACAGAAATTCACAATCCCATACAGATAGGTATCCTAGGAATAATAATATGGTGTATTTTTGAGCATTTATAAATCCATTTCCAACCGATGGAACATTTTACCTTTGTTTTGTTCTTAGCTTGGGAAACGAAAATTCGAAAATATTTTTAAAATGTACGAGAGCACATGATGCGTTCAGAACACAATGTTGGCTGAAGTAGGTCCAGGCTGGAAAAACGCCCGAGGTGGCCAGACTAAAACATGGCACCAATGTATGAACCATGTAGGGCGATGCAGATTAGCCGGTTGGGGTCCACGGGAGAAGAGGAACCAGTGGTTGGAGACTCTAGGTGATCACATGGCTCAGAACCGATGTGAGTGGTGCAGATGTATACACACATTATCCTCATCTTAACGGCTCTATACCAAATCTCACCATTTTCCAAATCTTCATTTCTCTCTTTTCGTACTTTATATTTCTTCTGACTACATTCTCTTATCTTCATCTTGCACGTCACTGTCTTTTTACTTGATTTACTGATATGAGGTGTGGCAACTTGGACCGTTACGCAGTAATGCCGAGTCCTATGTTGATATTGATGATAAGTGTATGTACCAGGGAGATTTTATATAACAGTAATGAGACATTCTGAACATGAACAGAAAATAGATGAATTCGTCAGTAGGTGGTAAATATTTGACTATTTAAATCAGTGATTTTACAGCAGGCAATTGAATGTAGCAACCACTTAAGTAACTCAAATTTACAGTCTTGTTTGATGTCTTAAGCGTCTGGGTCAAGTAGCTTCTCGAACCCCATCTATGAAAGCAAGATGCTCAACCAATTTTGTTTTATTCTATAGTGCTATGTCATAAACTGATCATCGATTTGTTTTCTTCACAGGACGTGAATAACAGTCAGTCCCGATGCTTGCAGGCAAGCAAATGTGATGGATCCAAGCCAATGAGACAGACACACTAGAAGATGAAATGACTGATGCCCAGCATACTTGACCATGTATACACACGCAACACTGATTTAGCGATAAACAATAGGCATAAGAGGTGACAAAGCACACACTACCATCGAATCTCTCCAGACAGACAAAATCAACATAGAACTTAGCACACAAGTCCATCGGTTCAAATTGCTATACTTCACAATAGGATATAAAGAACAGGTGGATAGAGTCTGAGGAAACTTGAGTGCTGACAGAGTTGTGAGGGCGGTTGACACTTCCCGCCTGCCCACACTGTGGAAGGCTATTTCCTCTTAAGATACCTGAAAGAGATTTGTGTGACCACAGAGCCCATCGAACATCTACTTGAGGCGTCACACGTAGCTTTTTGTGCGTGATTGTTTTGATACCGGATGGTTGAAAATAAAAGAGGAATGAACCAATACCGTTGGCCCGGTAGACCATGGAGTGTTATTTTTTGGGTCGACCTTTTCCAACCCCTCTTCTACTGAGAAGGCAGCATCAACATGACATTACTGGTCATCCAAGGAAAACACCTTACTGCTGTAACACCCCATCCAGCTCGCAGCAGTACGACTTCACCCAGAGACTTCCATCAGAGTGTAGTAATTTACACCTCAACGTGGATAGAAAAAGAGTGATATCGAAGTAAGAAAACCTGTATGAGAGTGCACCACTATTACCAAGAGTCCTATCGTGTGGAGGACCCCAACTAGGTAGTCGACATCTCGCCCACACGTCTCAGACCGGCAGTAAGGAACTCCGTCGACTGATGCCGTCTTGATCTGGCCACCTTCAACCCTCTTTCTCTAGCACGCCATGAATATCTTCACTTCATAAAGCCTAGACTTTGCAATAAAAGGGCATATAATCCATCACTAGCAGATGAATTTCATATTGACGCTTAACAGTAACGTGGATTGGTGTACATACAACTTAAGTTCTTGTAAAACAAATACTAACTTCATCTGCACAAGAATTTCTCAGTTAAAATCTACATATCAACTTCAGTGGAACATTGTAAAGATAAAATTTGTCGCAATTTTTCACAAAACAAACAAAATTATACTGAACATCCTATCTATCGCATAATAAAACATCTTTACGAACATGAAATTAGCTGTACATTGTCATAAACTTGAAATAATTTAGGGTCAAGACAGTCAACTAAATACAAATACGATCAATTAGTCAAAGGAAGTGAGAAATAAATATTAAGACAGTCCTAGAAGAGGTTAATGGTGGCCTAAATAACTCAGTGATAACGTTAATGATCACAACACTGGGTGACAACCTCAGACAGGAAGGATATCAATTCCCCTAGATGTTACACACACTCTATACTGACGAATCTCAACAAGCTCGAAAACTAGATCAAACAGAAATTTCTGACAATTCCTTCCAACCAACTAACATACAGTCTATTCAATAATTCACAGGATTATTTAGAACAAGTTAAATGTGCAGTATAATTTTATACAAAATAACATAGAAATATGATATAAATAAATGTATGTATATGTGTATACACACGCATAACAAAAATAAGTGTAATTGAACACATTGAATGGACCAATACACGCAGCGGGAATACAAAGTTGTTTTGTTTTTTTAAAGAGGAAGAAAATAGTGTTACAGTCATAGTGGATGACTGTTTTTAATCATCATGGTTAAGAGTGAAGAAAAGAAACAGTACTGAATCGTTGTGTAGAATGACTGGATTGTGAAAAAACAAACCATTATATCAATTGACAACTTCATTCAACATGAAAAATACCTAACAGTTGATGGAAGAAAAATATTACAATTTCAGAATTTTTGTTTTAATTTTATAAAAATAAATAAATAAATAAACTATGTAGATATGGCAATATAAGCTAAAAATGTTTTATTAAGCAAGAACAGTTGACAAGTACAAGGCGCTTAAACAATAGAGACAATTCAAGAAAATACCCAAAATAATTACACAAGTAGTAAGTATAGTTTCATAGAAGAGTGAATATAACCTATTGTCTTTACAACAGATCTCTCTCATGATAAACGATTTTACACATAAACACAAAGAAGAGAAAAATAGAAATTGCAGTGAAAATGCTTTAACATTTCCTGTCACCAAACAAACAAACATATACAAACATACAAAAGAAAGTCTAAAGTATCCACCCTGAGAGTTTGATTGAGATCATTATTAAAAGAATGAAATTTACATAGAAAATAACATTATACACTGTCAATAATATGGATGGATGGTAGACTGAATACTAAATACTAAATACCAATTGACAGTCAAAATTCATTCCTATCAATCAACTAGTTATTACTTTATATTTTGGAAATGATAAGCCTAATCGTGATTCAATACCACAAAATGTAGCTGTTGCAAATCGATAGCCACCAATATGATCTGGATTACTTGATATAGATTGAATATAATGATGATCTACTGGTTTACCAGACAGTTGTCTATAAAGAAAAATTTCATCAGTGTATAATAGACTAGTGAATTTTAAATATTACGGATAAAATAAAATAAACAAAACTATAATATACCCATGGATATCATAACTCAATGGATAACACTCTGATGTTCGAATCGATGATGAGTACATGGTTCGAATCCTGAGCAGGACAACACTGCCCATTAGGAGGCAGGTACACCCAGCTGATGAGTTTCAGATAGGATGAAACACGTATCCTAGATTCCACTGTTAGCCAATCACCTATCATTATTACTCAATATATAACATACTTAACAAGGCGAATCGTATAAACAAATGTTTTTCAGTTTTAATAGGATACAAATTCGTAGTCAGACTTACAGGTGGAACTATGAGATGATGGACACCTAAGTCTGGGTAACCCAGTCGCATAACAAGCCCTTACATAATAAGTGGAGCTAACAGTATAGTGTATAAACATATAACAGGTGTAACGAGTAAAATTGCATTAGTTACCGTTAATCATCACTCTGAAGAATAATTTTATGATGATAAAACTGTGTTTAGACAACAGTCATTCAAATTAATTGATCCTATTAAAATAATCTGTTGCTAGTTGTTGTTCTAGGAACCACCTTCATCCTTCAGTGGTTAATGCTCTGGTACACAAATATATACCGGGGTTGAGTTACACATAGAACAAGAGAAAGTGTTATAGGGGGACACTTTTATGCTAACAGATCCATCAGAAGAGATTTATACACATTCTGTGTAACAGTGGTTCATCAATGCAGGTGACGGATAATCCCCTTCGGCTACTTTGAAGTAGTAGTCCACATAGGCATTGGAGGTTTCCAAATGCATATTACAGCTTATTCACTACAGTCTACACTTGTAAGTCCACGAGAATAAGTGAAATATAATAGCCAACATAAAGCATGATGTGCGATTATTACTATCATTTCGCTATCTGAGATAGCCGCAGTTTAGCAGACTAATATTTATACTGAGCTGCGAGGTCCAGGACCTCGTAGAGCATCGGGCTGGAAACCCACTGGTCGCTGGGTCGAATACGGCCGCGGTCCAAATTTTCGCTTCACTTTCAATCATCACCCAGTAAAAATTATTACTATATTGAATGAGAGGAAACAGCTGTCCAGTGCTCCCAGGTTTCCTTTGTTCCTCCAACTGATGTCAGTCTACGATGAATAACAACTTGAAATGTAGAAGTATTATGTCACAGTTGAAAATGACTACAGGTTGTGTTATGAATAAACAAGGGCGTAAAACTAATGACATGATAAAATGTATGTTCCTCAGAGCGATGACAATGTAGAAAAAAGGGAAGGGAGGTTAAAATTTGCAATTTGTAGTAGAAAAGTCCATAAAGAATATGTTCACCCTGTTGTGGGCCCAAGGCAAGCAAAGTGGATGTACATATTTCTTTTGAACCCATAGGTCCGATTTTCCTGCGTTGATTCCTATGACTTTGGTTATGGATAAGATACGAAGTCGTGCACCTTTAGGGAGATTGCAAGGGATACGGTATATCACAGAAAAGGCGTGATCTACCTTAATCTGATATTCAGTGTCTACTGGATGTGAGAAGATTACACTGTTAATGCTCTTTATCATTCCTTTCCATAACTAAGATGGTACATGTTCACCAAAGCACGTGGATAGAGCCCTTTGAGTACGGTCCATGTAACTAGCTCCACAAGAGCAGTTGAACTCATAAATGCACACTGAAGTGATCATCATAGGTAACCTATCACTCGTCCTCTATGTCAGTAATGGTATGGTTGAGAAGCTGACAAAAAGTTTAGCTGCATAGAATGTCTTTTCGATTAATCTACTTAATTGATGTGTTGAGATACCGGAGGCAATATCACTTTTGAAAATTGGTCAAAAATGTAGACTTCTTAGTAACATTGTCTTTCTTTATCTTCTCGTTAGGTTCCGACATGTGTTTATTCACTTCTTCTTCAATATAGTCATCACAACAAATGTTTCTTATGCTGTAAATCACGCATTTGGTTAGGTTTCTTTTATACTGAATCGTTGTGAAGCTATGAAGGTGAATATATTGACCAGTTTATATGTTCTTTTGAAAAAAAATATTCCTTTTAATACACCCATTTGTTTTCCTGGTGAGGAGGATATTCCATCATTCTATTCCATTTGATCTTCATTCACCCATAACACTGTTTCAATATAATAATAATTGTACATCATACCTTATTTTGGCAGTTGTATTTCAATAACTTAAACATCCCCATAGATTCATTATATAGGTAACTTTTAATATAGTAGTATTTATTTGTGTGGATTCATAGAAAACCTGAGAAAATTACCTTCCACCAAAGTCGACAGCCAGGTAACGTTGAAGCATTTCATAGGACAATAGTGTTACACCAAACTGAGGACTGGATCGGAAGACACGAGCTAACGAACCCTTCCAGAATGCACGACCACCTTCTTCACGCCAAATCTTTCCAGCTGCATCCATTAAACCTGTATAGGTTGTCTGTCCTGTACGTGCTACAACCTAATGATAAAGATGGGGTGGATAGCGAAACAGAAAAAAAACACATGCATCATTATTTTTAAAGAGCATATCTGTATCAATACAATTTACTCATCTTTACAACGGTTCACATTCAACAACTCCATAGAGCGTTGACCATATGACAAGTAGGTCCCATGGTGGGCACGTTATTCCATATATTGATTGTTCACTTAGGGGTAAGCAACCACAAGTTGTCTAGTTTTAAATGCTGGCCACCAAGTCAGGAGGCTCATCAGCATGATGCACTGAGATAGATGTTAGTTGGATGGAGCCAATCGGTAGGAAGGCATGCTTAACCCAGGTTTCATGCTTGTTAGCACTCGTCAGCAAGATGTATCTTCAACCTCGAGGGAACTGATTTTGCCTCTGAGATTTGAATTCGCGTTGTCCACTGTTGAAGTCAGCGACGTTACCGTGACTGGCCTGCAAAACTGAACTACATACAACCAACTTACACCTAACAATGTACACCACGATACTCAGCCGCCTAGCTCGGTGGTCACATTGAGAAATGGTTGGTGAAATTCGATCACCACTCAAGACTAGACAACATGCGATTAGTTGCTTTCCCGTGACCAATCAATGTATGGCAGTGGTCTCCACGTTACCGCAGCATTAATCTACTTTATGATGACTTACAGAGAAATTGGCGATTTGAGAGAGATACATATATTAGAGTAACTACTGCCATAGGTAAAGCTTTTAGTTAATTTGTCAGAAATATTTCCCAAAATATCCAAAACTGTTAAAGTGCGATCAAACTTTAGCCTAAATGTTCTAAAGTTTGATCGGACCATTTTCCTCAGAATTCCAAAATTTTCAATGTTTGATCAAATTTTATCCCATGTATGCCAAGTGTTTCAAAGTTCGCCCGAACCATTTTTACCTGAGGTTTCCGAAAATTTAAAGGTGCGCATCAACTTTAGCCCAAAAGTTCCAACATCCACTCGGACCATCCACCGGAATATTCCAAAGTTGTGAAAGTGTGACCTGGTTAACTAGTTCACTAGTTACTAGCCGGTCCTAAGCCCGGGTAAAGAGGGAAGGTTGGGAATACCACTAGCAACCCTACACCCCTAAAACAAATCTAACCGCTAAAGAAACTTCAAAGCACAAACGATATATAAAAAACAAAAACAAACTTATTCATCGCTGGAATCGGAGAGGCGAAATGACGCCAGTTGGTGAAAGCCTTCGGGAAGCCGACTGACCAATGTGTCTTCGTCTCAATGAAAGCGAAAGTAAACGTGGGGACATGGAATGTCCGCACCATGTTTGAACCCAGCAAGGCAGCTCAGATTGCAAACGAGATGAAGAGGTATCATATCGAACTGCTTGGAATTTGTGAAAGCAGATAGAATGGGAGTGGACTCTCCAAACTGTCAACTGGAGAATCAATAATCTACTCCGATATTGTCACCCAGACGACAACCACGAGCACACTAAGTTCTGGAGTGGCTATCATGATGTCCTCAAGAGCATCAAAGGCTCTCTCTCATGCAGTGGGAACCAATCTCCTCCTCCACGATCAGGATCATGACAGCAAGATGGATTCAACTCAAAAGGAAGGAAGGTCACAATCATACAATGCTACACTATGCACCTACAAATAATGCAGAGCAAGAGAAGGAGGAGGAGGAATTCTACAGACAACTTCAATCAACACTGGACAAGACACCACCTCAGTTGGCGATATCAAAATTCTAATGGGTGGGGTGACATGAATACCAAATTGGAAGGGGACAACACAGGAAGAGAACTAACCATGGGCCAAGAAGCGCTCGGTGAGGTGATGAACGAGAATGGAGAATTGTTTGCATAATTCTGTGCATTCAACGATTTGGTGATTGGAGTTAGGCAGTGTGTTCAAGCACAAGGATATCCACAAAGTGACATGGAGTTGATTTCACCAGACACCAGGACACACTAAAAATCAAATAGACTTTATCTGAATGTGAAGAAAGTGGAGACGCAGTCTACTTGACACAAGGTCAAGAAGAGGAGCAGATGTAGGTTCAGACCACTCACTGTCTACTGCAAGGAACCTTCCAAATCAAGTTAAAAGCCTTCAAGGAAGCTGGTGATAGACCACAGTTCAAGTACAACACTCGGAAACTGAAGGGCAAAACTACAAAAGAAATCTTCACTTCAGTCAGCCATCAAGACAAAATGTGAGATATTGAGGGACATCCCTGAAGAAACCTGTGTGGAAGAACACTGGAAGTCTTTGAAAGAGATGTGGAAAGGAACCTGCACAGCCGTATTAGGAAGGAAGAAGAAAGAAGATAAGGAATGGATCTCAATGGATACATGGAAGCTGACAGAGCAGGGACAGGAGGATGGTGAAGCAGAAGACAAACTAGTGCAATGATGCTCAACGACATGAGGAACTGAGTACAATGTATAAAACACTGGACAAAGAAGTGAAGAAGAGTGCACGAAAAGACAAGAGACACTTCTGCGAAACACTGGCAAGTGAAGCAGAACAGGCTGCAGGTAGGAGAGACCTGACAACATTGTATCAAATAACCAGGTTACTATCCATCTGGAAAGAGATCAACGCACACGAAGCCAATAAAAGATGATGACGGAAATTTAATTACGAAAGAAGAGAAACAAAGGATGAGATGAGTTGAGTATGTTTCATGTAATATGACCCATTTATTTGTAAATCATTATCATTTGAACCACAATTTGGGGTTCAGTAGTGTACATTTTGTGTACTCTTGACATATGATATATGCGTGAAATGCTCGCTAAGCAGATCATTTCTGAATACAAATCCTGTTTCATGTTATTTCATCCAATCAAAAAATAAGGTATGTAGGAAATAAATTCCACTTTTAATTGACTTATTAGATTTATCACACAGTGAGGGAACAGTATTGTTTACTGGATTACGTTTCGGACATCATTTGTTGTCCATAGTCATATCAAGATAACTACACAACTTTGAGATATCCTTTATACAGTCCTAATTTCCTCGTCTCCTTTGTGATATGAGTAGTAGGATTTTCTATATGTCGGGGGCAGGTATGCAGTCATTCCTGTTGCATGTTATTAGGTGTTGATTCGATAAACAAAGATTGATTTATCAATCTCTCCCTCCACCCAGTTATGTTAGTTTTATGGATTTTCACCCTGTTTCATCCTACTGTGTAGTTGTGTGTAATCGCATGCAAAGCTATGGCTGAACTTTTATCTAAATTCCTTACCTTACTAGAATCTACCAGTTTTGACCTAGTTACGTTTTTGTGCTCGAATAGCCAGCCTAATTGACTCTGGTTGACTAATTTGACCTCCCAGTCTAACCAGGCGATTTAGTAAACTAAGTTATTCTGCTTAATGGGATCAGTAGGATCTTTTAACCTACAAAGCTTATTTCTAAGTGAGTTTGTGGGTTTAAATGCCACTCTAATCCCAGCCAACCAGCCTTATTGAGAATCCTACATAATGTCTCTGAGGTGCTTTCTTTATATGGTAACACTGTAGAGGTTTTGAATTCTCTCTTCACAGTATTGACACTACTATTATTAACACTATTATTACTACTATTACTACACCTGTGCTACTAATATTTCTCTTATGATTCCTGAAGAACTTATCAATTGATTAAGGGGAGGGGGAGAGGAGGGTAATTGTTGAGTAAGGTGTCTTTAATGTATATGTATCTTAGATCTTCTGTTTTACCAGTAAGTTTTTTGGCCCTGTTACTTAGATACTTTAGTAAGCCAAATGTAACTCATATAGGGTGAGACGATTTGAATGTGAGGGTTTACTGTAGACACTAGTGTCTAAACTTCTATTATGTTTCCGTTTTATTCTGCAATCTAATATCGCTAATTACCCTTGACTATTTTTCAAGTCATAGGTGAATTGGATTGCATTGACTACTGAAGAAATTATGTATATGCTCCGATTTCAATACTGTAAATGTGTTGTCTACATTTCAAAACCATAGTTTTGAGGCTAGACTAAATTTTTTTTGCAACCATTCCTTCCCAACTATCAGTAAATATGTCAACCACAATAGGGAATATGGGTGATCCTATGGTAACTCCTTCTGTCTGTTTGTATATTTTATTCTGATACTTAAAGATTGTGGTATGGCTCTGGAAGCTGTTAGAAACGAGCTTTAACAATGACCATGACGTTACACTACGAACTAAGGTACAAGTAGATGATATCATGCTAAGAGTACAAGTCATGCCTAACCTCCCTTTGTGACTTGGCGGAAGGGGTGTGTGTATGAGGAAATTAGGACTATATAAAGGATATCTCAAAGTTGTATAGTTATCTTGATATGACTATCATGTCCGAAACGTAATCCAGTAGACAATACTGTTCCCTCACTGTGTGATATATAATAAATTAATAAATATGGAGTTATATTCTACCATAGTGCACAAGTTTTAATCTTATATTAAGGGAATAAATTCTTTTCATCAAATACATTATAAAAATCAAATGTACTCAATTAAGTGATCTAGTGACATACACTACTCGTTATACTACTTACTAATCATGTAAAATATGTGAATCATTATACCTGTAATCTTGTCTTGATCACATCAGCTGGTGTGGTTAAAAAAGCAGCAGGTGCACCGGAAATAGTAGCAGCCGCTAGTAAACTAATTGGTGAATTAAAACCTTCATTATCAGAAAAATATTTTTTCAAATTATTGTATGCAGTGAAGTATATTGCAGAGAATGGAATATCACGTAGAAAACAAGCACGTGATCCTTTGTAGAGTCCGATTAAACCTAAATCTTTAACAACCTATTGTAAGGATAACATAAAGAGAAAAAAAATACAACAAAATCTGAATTATATCATCTATACTCAAATTCTAATCTGATTTGTTATATCTAGTTTATGCTGGGTGATGATTGAAGGTGAAGTGGAAATTTGGACCACTGCCAGATTCGAACCAGCGACCACCAGGTTTCCATCCTGACGCTCTACCAACTGAGCTACAAGATTCAGCAAGCTGATGGTCATGAAAGCTATAGAATTCAAATGGATGCCTCTATTGTTTTGAACAGAAGCATGAATCCACTCCGATTAACAACTTCATGACTTAGTAAGTGGCTTAGATTCGTCAAATGGAAGGTGACTTAACTACCAGGCCTTCAAATTCTTATGAGAAGTGAACAACTTTGAAGTTTTGTCAAGTACTAGCGGTAAAAATCTACGTTTCTGAGGCTTTATTTCCTTAAAAATATAGGAAAAACTGATCAGTGATAACTGCTTAGAGTTCTCTGAGCTCAGAAATGATTGAGAAATATTAAGTTAGCCAATACATACCAAAAACGTCATCAGCCGAGTACTGAGCCTTGAAAACTTGTCAGATAAACCATTTATTCCATCTAATCTAACTATACCACATACTATACAGCTGTGGTTATTTGGTGATGAGTTGTGAATTCGAATACCGCTCCATCTAACGAGGTCTTGGCCCTCATGCAATAGGCGTGACTCGTTGTTACTGTACTAGAATGTGCATGTGGTTGCTGGACGCTGGGAATGCTAACCAGCTTGAAACAAGATCCGTTTTTTTTGCAGATATTTTACAGCCTATCACATACTACGATTGCACAATAGATGCTAGGTAGAATACAGCAATGGTAGATAATATCCTGGTTTAGACCAACACTTAGAGGCTTCTTTCCTTGGTGCCACGTCTTTATCTGGTCACTCTGCGCCTTCTTTCCACCTAGTCCAACTTCGGCTAGTATCGTACATCAAGGTGAGTGATCACTTATTGTGCACAGTACATATTCAAGCCAGTTCAGTCACAGTGGAGGTTCATAACTTTATCGACCGGCTTGCTTATCTTGTCTAGTACCCTTCGTCTAACTTCGACATCTCAAATGTTACGAAGACGCCTGAGTTCGAAAATCAATAATCGATTCAAATCTCCTACTTTTAACGCCTATATCTTACAGCTACATAACAGGACAGAACAAAACAGCAGCGAAGTATACTTGTCCTTTAATAGATAGTTGGATGCTGACCTTACCGAGTGTTAGAGATGATGCGTAAGTAGGCAAATAGCCAGAAACGGGTCATCTGTATCCCAGCTGAAATTTCATGACCAACCAACCCGTTCAGGCTGATTCAATCTCAAGTAGGTCAACTGGTTAATATATTCTACCACTTCATTCAACATTTTTAAACCATGACCAGTCACAAACCATCATCATACTTTTAGTAGAAACGTATGCCAAACATACTCGAAAAGTAAGAATGAATCAATGTTGAACGTCTACCTACCTCATACTTTTTATTGGCATATTCTTAAAGTTTTAAATTGTTTATTTTAAAACACATACATATGCAAAAATGATTTGATGAAAACCGTAGGGAAATGATCAAAGGTTTCTTGTACTTTCAATCAATCAGTAGGTCACACATTTTAACCCTACTCCACCTAACAAAGTTTTGATGCACACAAACATAGGCATTAGTTGTTGAGTTATTGATAAGGGAACGACTAACACACTGTTGAATGTGAGTTACAAGAGGGACACATAATACACCCATAAAAAGTAAAGAGAATATGAAAGGTAATCTCTTACTGAAAAGGCTGATAGACGCTTAGTGTTAGCAATTTCTCCAGCCACTTGAAGTCTTATCTTTACAATCTCCAATGGATTGGTAAAGATAACTTGACTGCCACCAGCACAACCACCGGCTAAAATTTCTGCATATATCGAAATATCACCATTCGATTTAGTGAATTGATCACGAACTATATCATTGACGGTAAGTTTTATCGCTTTTTCTGGAGCTACACCTAATAGTTGTGGTCCAAGACCTCGATAGAGACCAGAGAAACTTTCATATCTAAAAACACAATGATAGATAAAGAAAGATACAAGACAAACATCCATCAGTGGGGTATTTGGAAGTCAGTGGCGATTTTAATTTAAAGGTAGTATTCATCTCGAACTGACATCAGTTGGGAACCATTGAAAACTTGGGAGCACTGGACAGATGTTTTGTCTTAGTATGGAGCTAATCAGTAGGATGCACCCACGACCCGGCTAGGTATCAAACTCAGGGATCTTCAGGTTTCACGGCGAAAGCGCTAACCATTTAGCCACTGCGTCGGAGTTCAGTCGTTCACAGTTCTCAACTTTTGTCAATGCGCGATATAGTGCGACTATCCACCAAGGTCTTCAGTTGGAATCCTCCTTCCCTTCCAAGTTGTTGACCCCACAGGTTACAGCTTCGTACTAGAACTTCGAGATATCAATCTGGAAGCATATCATCAATGAGTCATATACAGTAATACATAAAGTGAGATAAATAAGAGAGCAGACAAGATAACGAGAAAATATACAACTCAACTAGTGAATCTACTACTTGTTTCAGTGTACAACGTACTAGCTGGGAATTTAAAGATTGTTGCTTTGAACATCAGCTACAAGCCAATAAGCTTCCATCAGAAATATATATCCATTTCGGTTAAAAACTTCTCTTTGTCAGTTTCACCTCATTTACCAATCAAAGTATTTGCCTCAGTTCAATGACTCAAATACTAATTCATACGTTTTGTGGTTGAAGTTCAGAGAAAATCAATTTAATTATCTGATTTAAGGTTGTATTCATCACGGACTGATATCAGTCGGAGAGCCAGTGCAAAAACCTCAGGGACACTAGACAACTGTTTCGTCCTGGTATAGGACTCCTTAGAAGCATGCACCAACATAATCAAACCCACGACCTTCAGGTTTCACGGTGAAGGCGTTAAAAACCAATAAAATAAAATCTCCATAAACCTAAGACTACAATATTGTAAAGTGCTCATTAGTGACGTGTTTCAAAATGAATGTCCAAAAGTGATCTGTGGAAGGAATAAGTCAGGAGTGAAACGGATGCCAACTGAAGACTTCGATAGACAGTCACGCTATGTCGGGAATTGACGGGAGTAAGAAACTACAGAACCATTGAACTCGAAGATCTGAAGACCCCGAGTTCGAGACCCGGATAGGTCATGGGTGTGTACCGCTGAAAAGTCTCCTACTAAGGCGAAACAGCTATCCAGTATATATGTGTTGTCTATAAATATGATTACTTAAAGCCATTATTAGCATAGCATAAATTCATACCGTATAACTTTTCGAAAACAATCCCAACTATTTTTGTACATGAGTTCACCAATTGTTGATCCAACACGTTGATTTTGCATTCTTGTTTTCACTAAGTCAATAGGATAAACAGCAGTTGCTCCAATTGCACCAGCAATAGAGCCTAAAGTGAATCGATAACATTGTTCAAGTATAGACATCAAGGAACTGCGTCTCTGTCCTTCGCTTGATTTACTTCCTTGCATACCCTAGGGTAATGTAATGGTAATAAAACACAGTGAATTACATGAGTGGATTGGAGGGAAATAAATTTCATTGCATTTCATTACGGTATCATTAAACAATGATATTTAAAGTCCACTTGGAAATTGAAAGTTAGGATAATTTCTTGTATGAATGGGATTAGTGGCGAATTTCACTAATCGGTTAGTAATATCTAGGCTATCTGACAAAAATATTACTTGGTACTTGGTGTATAGTTGTAATCGTCGGTTATTCTTGTCAACTACTTTGGATACCATCGAATTGGTGACCCACATAAGTGAACCCAACCATCTGTTGACTACAGTCCTAGATAACATTACCTCTATAAACAAATTTAGTTGGAACTTGTTACTAAACAAATTTATGATGTTGTCCATACAAAAGTAAATGCATGATAAAATGCGCAGAATACCAACAAAATTATGATCACGTCTTAAACTGTATTCTGTTTAATTCCCACCTGCCAGAGGAACTATCAGATCCCAATGTTTTGCATCGTTTTAGGTTCGAAACAGCCTTCTAAAATTTCAGGACAACTGATAGGCCAATATCTACCCTGCATTCAGGTTTTGATTGGATGTTGGGTAATTGAAGAGTGACTGTGAGCCAGTTGAACTTGGCTAAGAAGTATGCCGCCTAACATTTCAGCTGTCAGTCCCAAGAGGTTACCAGATTCCCATCCTTTTCGAAGATGATTTCACTAACCGTCGTCTTCTTCAACCGTATACCAGTTACAATGTGATTTTGCCGTACTATCAATATTATGTACTGACAAGCACTTGGGAAGAGGGGAAAGAGTATCCAAATGCTCATACAAAAAACCATGAAGTATTGAAATGAATTGTAATGAGTCATCATTGATGATATTCCCATTGGTGTTCAGATCACTCTATGATTGGTGAAATCTATAAATCAACCTGAGCAGTTTCTGACTACTCAAGTCGTTTGGTAGTAGAATCTTTTGCTAGTTCATGACACTTTCGTGTCAGAGATTACACCTTGTGATTCTGGCTGACAAGAAGTTTCCAAGGGAAGTCCTATTCACGCCACAGTTTGGTAGCTGGAAACAAGCTACTCAGCTGTGAAGAATAGCAACGTGGACCGTGCAATTTATAAACCATTTGCAAATTGATCATCCTACTTAGGATATATCCGTTCATCTAGGTCAGTTAGGCAGTTCCAGGTGATCTGAACTAATCCAGCCCCATGAAGTAAATTTATTCTCGTACACCGCTGACAAGTCCAACCCTCAACGACTGGAACAACTATCTGGTGCTGAGATCACTCCGATCTGACTGGTGAAATCACCAGCCCAAGTGGTTGCTAACTACTCTAGTCATTCAGTAGTACATTCCCATCGGTTGTTAATGTTGTGTGACTTTGACAAGTACAATTGAGTCTAAGGTATTGTAGTTATTTTAGCGTATATGCACGTATTTAAAATACCGTGACAACGATTGTATGAACTGTCCTTGGAAGTGTCTGAAGGGCTGGTTGTGTGACCTGATTTTGTGGTTGCATAAAATATATCTATAAAAACTATAATTCCTGTTCTCTGTGCATCATTCTAGAATCCTACAGTCCAAGTCAATCTTGATTGCGGGATAACTCAATGCATAACTCATTTCCAGCAAAATAGTACACATATTTATCACAACGTTAAATGTAAACAATTACCCAGTGTATCCCAGTACTAAAGATGATAGTTATAACAATACTTTTAACCAATAAACACACCTGAAGTCTAGTCCGGATATAATGTGAATCGTCCTCCACATGAGTAATAGTACATAGGTCTTTGTAAGTGACGCGTCTAAAATGAGATAGAAAACGAGAAGAAAGCAAAAATGAGTGCATTCAGTAATTTCAACTAAATTAGTAACACAAGAGGTGGCTATTGTGACTTGGCGATCTAGTGGATAACATTCTGGCGCCTGAAGCGATCGGTCCCGAGTTGGAGTCCTAGCGGGGACAACATCGCTCACTGAGAGATAGGTACATCCAGCTGACGAGTCCCGAATAGGACGAGAAGCACGTCAAGCTGGATTCCACTGCTGGCCACTACTCATCAATAATATATAAATCAGGAACAGTTGTTATATTCCTAATGTTAAATAAATGAATTAAAACAACCGGGTACCGACACTTAAAGCGAATGTGTTTCTGTTATGCAACAAATCACGATGATTGACTGTATTCATGATGGTTAGCGACAGTAGTGTTCATGAGATGCAGGTTTCAACCAATTCTTAATACCTTAATAACTTAATCTCTCTACAATACCTAGAAAGAATCAAAAGCCACTCAGTAATCTTGTGCACGTTCATGTATTAGGCAATCAACCAAACTTGACTGCTCAAACGTAGGTAGGTGGGGCTGGGTTTGAACCCATTGGTTGAAAATTAAGTACCTAGGCTAATAAGCTACAACTACACCTCTCTAGAAAATAACGCTAGCCACTATAAGTTGAACTGTAGCTCATTAGGCGAGGCACTTGACTTCTAAGCAATATATCGCTGGTTTAAACTTTGTAAGATTGACCCAAATAAACGTACCCGTGAGTTGTGTAAAGTCAAGAAATTATCTGATTATCTCGCACTAATAATTAGTGGTTTTGTATTAATTAGAAATTAGTATATAAATTCGTACACTTACAACATTTAAGTTGATTTTAATGCAAACAATGTGCAAGCTGCATTCAACAAAAATAGAAAATGACAAATTTAATATGGCTGAATTTCAAAGGATAACTTCAACCAATCAAAAAACAGTATATGTCTAGACAATAACAGACAGCCAATGAAAGGAAGGTAGGAAAATGTGTACATAAAATAACACTAATTACTCATGAGTAATTTATTCAATGGCATGAGAAATGATACAAACACATCACTCTCATCAATCAGGTGGTATACTATCAGTCTTTATTACGTTTTAAGTATGATTCATAGTTTAGTCACATTCAACCATCATTGACTAACAGTAACCGACGAATACAAAGTTTACAATTCATCATCCACAGAAATATGATGACGCTTGAATACGAAAAATACAAAAATGCAGCTTAATGATAATTTTATGGTTTTCTACATCAGCCACTAACATTCAGCATGAAAAAGGAATACGATATCATGATACAATCGAACCACTACTGCCATTCTAAATATCTTGGGTATGTGGTTCAGTTCACAGTAAATTGAATCAGTGGAAATCAACTGATCACTTAGCGTTGCACGACTTTTAATTTGGTTTATATGCGTTGTACATAGTGATATACTGTTTTCTGGTAAGTGAAAAATTTACAATCATAAAACAGTCATTTTCTTTTGGTATTTTGCTGGGTAACTGAAGAATAGTTTCGATAATGAACAAGAGAAGGAACTCTAGGCTGTCTACAATCTATTAGAGGAAGTGTAACATACTGAGGATAGCAACAGTCGTCTTCTACTGCAATGAGTGTCACTGCCAATCTCAGATAATTACTCAAATTAAAAGTTATATACATTCTGTACTACTTAGTGTGTACACAGCGATGAGATTGACCAAAAAGAGTGACAGTTTAGTTACTAGCCACAGGGACGCCTATATACCTTATATCCCATACTTACAATTTGTATATATTTGAACTGTTTTTTCCTTCGCGCCCTTTTTCCCGCACACAAGTCGAAATTTCATATAACGCGCTAGTGTTCTGATTGGCTGCGCTAATTATTCCTTACCTTCCAAGGTTACTGTAAAGTCTATAAACAGGGTCTATTTCTGCTCATGAACATTTACAATTCGAGATGCTTTAAACTTCTTAATTCATTACCAGTCTTTTGATTTCTTCTGGTGAATTACTCGGGTTGAAACGTCTCAACCCTCGACTATCAATCGTTATTTATTATCGTTAGTTTTCACAACTCTATATGGGATTCGAATCCAAGCGGGGAAACTCCAATATATGTAATCTCATTCACTTAAATTCACCTTATAACCTAATATACAGGATAGTTGAGTGCTGATTTGTGAAACACAATACTTCGATGAAAAAAAATGTCAATTAATAAATAACTAGAAAACTGTTTTACTGTACAAACATAGAAGTACTCGAAGAACTCTTGAGTCAGATACAAACTGTGCACATAAGATGAAACAATCAATGTAATTAAGATGTTGAAAGTATAAACAAGGTGATATCAGCAAGATAACGGAAAATTTACTTTGTATAAACTTGCCTCATAGTGAAAATTTAATGACAATTAGTTTATTGATACTGAGTGGTGATTGAAGGCGAAATGAAGATTTTGACCGCGGTTGGACTCGAATCAACGACCACTGGGTTTCTGGCCCGATGATCTACCAACTCAGCTACGAGGTCCAACTGCTGACCAGACATTTATTTCACTTCAACTATCTTGAGTTTCGCCCGACTATCATGTGAATTCGTGACCTCATAGCTCAGTTGGTAGAGTATCGGACTGAAAATCCAATGGTCGCTGGTTCGAATATGGCCTCGGGTACAAATTCGCATTTTACCTTCAATCATCACCCAGTATCAATACTAGTCTGGTAAACCACGGTTATCTCAGCTGATCAAAATGATAATTAATTTATTACCACTAAAACAAACATGAAGAACTGTCGAACGTTTTCCTGATTGCAACAATAATTTCACCCGATTGATTTTAATGATATTTACATTTATTGACATTTGTTATTTGCTGTTGTTATTCTAAATCGAATTGGTCGACCTTTGTTGGCATATGAGCTCCTTTGCGAATGCCTCGATATGATCTGATTGTTGATTATGCTGTAATTTGCTTGCTGGTAGCTATCACTGGAATCTACGATGTGCATTTTATCCCATTTGAAACTCGTCAGCTGGATGTACTTGGACAACAATGAGTGATGCTCTACCCACTGAGACTCAAGTCTTATACCCATCGCTTTAAACGCCAACGCATTATTAACTAGGCCACTAGGTCATGAGAGTCACCCCTCCTGTGCGACCGGAAGTGGTTATAAGTACTTATTGATGCTTATAGCTTTTCACTATTATTCTGTATCGAACTGAACGGTCTTCGTTAGTGTGTGGGCTCGTATACAGATGCATCGATGTTGATCATACTGTGATTTAAAATGCGCGTTTTGTCCTAATTGTAGATACATTCAGTTGTCGAGTTCCAAATAGGGCAAAACGCACGTCCTGGATTCAACTGCTAACCACCGAAAAGCAAATTATAAATGCTATTGGCTTTACAACTAATTCGCATTGTATATTCGAAATTGAAATGTACTCAGCAACATTGTAGACATTCGTGCAGTAGGCAATAAGGCACACACCTATTGAATGATATTACTGTCTGGCTCCCGAAATCTCGGTAGGTGGAGAAGGATTCGGACTCACAACGTATTGGTTGAAAATTACTGTCTAGACCAATGAAGCCATAGCTCTATCATATTGGTAAGAGGCTAAGTAGAAAAAACAAACTGTGCACACAAAGCCGAAAACAGTTATGTGAATAAAATTCATGAACAAATGCTATGAAGTCAGTTGAATGGACGGGAAAAGTTTCATTTTATGAATAACTTTAACATTATTATTCTTATTCCTGGCAATTTGACTATATGAAAGTAAAAAGTCATCAGCAAATCAGTGGTGCATCACATTCGATTACGAGTCAAAACTCTATGGTCAGATTCACAACAACTGTTACTGTACAGTTGTGGCGTATTGGTTTAATTAGTCCACTATCAATCTATGGGTCACAAATTTCAGCTTAATACCATCTAATCCAATTTTCAATGCTAAATAGTATCATATGCCCTCTATCTATCAAAGGATGAGTATAATGCACTGCAGTCCATTCTGTCTTCTTGTACGACTGTGAGAAATGACCGTTAAAGCAGAAGATAAGAAGCGGTTAAAGTGTTTTGATGGTTTGGACATGTACTGTGCATACCCAGCCACCACTTACCTCGGTGGATCATGCTAGAGGAAGTTAGACAAGGTTAGAAGAGAGTATAGAATGGCCAGACCAAGATGCGACACAGTTCACAAAGTATTTTACTGTTCGTCGTTTTTATATGGGGGTTGCAGACTGCCTGGTTGGAATACCCGCAGACGATAGGCATCAGGTGATATGACTGAAAATCGGTCAAAGTGACGTAGATGTATTTACTGCTTGGCATCCTCTGAAGTTCGAATGTCTCAACTAACCTTCGTTTTCGAATTCCCTATCCTCACACACAACTTTGTCTAAGCATAACGTGGACTGTGAAGATAGTACTCATCATCTTCATCATCAAAATCAACATAGGACTAGCCATTACCACGTAACGGTCCAAGTTACCACACCTCATATCAGTACATCAAGTAAAAAGGCAGTCACGTGCAAGATGAAGAAAAGGAAAATTCAGTCAAAAAAAAATACAAAGTAATAAAAGAGAGAATGCAAGAATCAGAAAATGGTGAGAATCGGTATAGCCTCGTCAAGATAAGGATAATGTGTGTAAGCATCTGGTCCACTGACATCGGTTCTCAGCCATCTCATCACCTACAGTCTCCAATCACTGGTTACTCTCCTCCTACCAAACCCAAACAACTAGTCTGCATCGTCCTACATGGCTTAAACCAACAGTCAACCACTTCATACATCGGTGCCATGTTTCACTCTGGCCACCTCTGGCCTTTTCACAGCCTGAACCTACTTCAGACAACATTGTGTAACCAGGCAATCAGTGACTAGGCATACCTAGTACCTGTCCCAACCATCTCAGTCGGTGAAGGTTCATAACCTCGTCAACTGATTTACCTCCACTCCCCATAACTCTACACCTGACTTCTGCATTACTCACGTCGTGACACCAAACAATACGGCGGCTTATACTAAGAAGGCAACTGTGGTCAAATACCTGAAGCCAGCTTTATCATGTCCTCCACCTTCAGTCGCCATGTTTCACAGTCATACAGTAAAACTGACAAGACTGCTGTGCACTACACGCGACGCTTAGTACACAATCGAATATCACGGTGGCACCATAGGTAGTGTAAATTGGCAAAAGCCAGATAAGCCTTTCTTATCCGTGCACAGATTTTATCCATCACTGACCCACCACCAAAGCAGGGCTGATCCTACTTCCCAGGTAAGTCAAGTCGTCAACACACCTCAACCACTTCATTCTCTATTGTTAGTCGTGGCACAGTTGAAGAACAATCCTGGAGCTACAATTTGCACTTCCATGGTCAGAAAGGCATCCCAAACATTCTCAAATCCCCACTCAGTGTTCAGAAAACTCTGCATCTTATCAGCGTATTCACCTAACAGGACTATGTCATCTCCATATTCTAGGTCTAATGAAAATTATCCTGCAATTACGTCAACGTCTGTGTAATCAGGTGACGAGAGGGAGATCTCCATGAGAATATCTATGGTAAAATTGAATAAGAATGGGGGGAGTGGGCACCCTTGACGGATACCACTTGATGAGCATAGCTCTCTGGACATCTCACGAATTCATGAAAAGAACTGATGTGAATAATCAACTTGGAAATATCTTCTACACTTTGTTCGATTACTCTACACTGATGAATTCACATTTGATTGGACCGCTTGTGACATTAAAAAATAAACAAGATATTTGTTGGAGGGGAATCTGTTCAATGAATTTATTCTCAAGTTGTACGTACATTCGTATACATACATATACATGAAAGAAATGAACTTCGACCGTGTTCGTCTAGACGTGATATCTATCCAATGTATGTGGTATCATATTCACTACAGTCTACCATTTAAAAACACAATTCTGCTTTTCCAAATGAGGGATTGGATCTTTTAATTTACACAGGTGTGAGTGTAATGTATTCATCATCCTAAAAAATACTCTGATGTTAAAACTACTAAGGATATATCTTATTTCCTCTGAAGCGGATATTCGATAAGGAAGTACTATAGTACTTATTTAATCCTCATGGCTTGGCTTTTTCGTATTCTTGTTCGATAAACACTTTCGATACTTTGTAATAGTGTCTTTGGATGGTTATTTTGTTTAAAGACTTCCCGAAGAATTCTATGACAATACCTGTCACATTATCTCACCATTTGTTATCAATTCATTCCTTATTCAATAACCCATTTTCTATCTCTTCCACTTGAACAAATATCACCACCAACACTTATTGTATATTTTACATATTGACTGGTCAACTTTTTACTCTAATTATCTGTCACTTCAGCAAGTATAAAAACAGTGGATCGGTAGAAAAATTCAAGTATACAAATTAAATAACTGATTAATACATCTGCTCACCCATCTTGTCGAAGAAGTGATGATAATTGGAATAAAATATTCAACTCCATAGGAGTAATTTGAGAAAAGTGTTGAGCTTCATTTAACATCTCCTCTGAAATTGTATAAACAATACAAAAAAGGTATTACATAAAAAGTGGATACATAGGTGATTTACACTGCCGATAGATCTGGCATGTTATTGAGCCTAATGTGTCATGACTGACAGAAGTAATCATTACTCCGTTGAAATTATTATTATCATTATTATTATTTGTCCTTTGGGTTCCTAGTGGAACATAGGGCTTCAGTAGCACGTCTCCAGTGCACTCTCTTCTCTGCAATCTTTTGAATCTGGCTCCACGATTGCCCACAAACTCTCATTTCTTTCTCACACCATCTCCTTCATGTCAACCTCGCCTCGGACTCCCAACTCGTCGCTTCCCATCGGGGTTCCACTCGAGGACCTGACGCGTGATGTCCCCCAACGGTCTTCTAGTACATGCCCAATCCATCTCCACTTTCTTCCAGTGCATATTTGTTGAGCGATAGGTTCTTGGTTGGTTCGTTGCGGAGTTCCTTGTTGCTTATTCTTTCTGGCCATCTGAGCTTCAGTGTTGACCGAGCGTAGGCAGTTGTTGATGAATATCTGTAGTTTGTTGGAAATGCCTTTCGTAACGCGCGAAGTCTCTGAACCGTATAGAAGCACTGACTTGACTGATATTAGTGTTGAAAATACGGATCTTGTTCACGCTTTATGCTGAATGCAGTAGATCTCCACACTGGTTTTAGATTAATGAACGCCTGTCTTACTTTTCCGATCCTGCTTTTGACATCCACGTCTGTGCTGCCTGTAGTTGAAACGATGCTGCCTGCCTAGGTAGGTGAAAGAGGTTACTTCCTTTAAGTTTCTCCCGTTGATGATGATTGGAGCTTGTTGTTGTCGGTGGTGGCGTTGGTTTGGTATCACCATCACGTCTGTCTTCTCTACGTTCACTTGAAGTCCCGTACTCCGTTGAAATAGTATATGAAATTGGTAGTTTTAAGCATGATTATTCTTTTTAAGATTGAAAACAGTAAATTATATAGGCAAACAACAAAACTAGTATGATAAAATTAGCATAGCTGAGAACAATTCATCAACTATGCATGTCAACAACGGATAGGACAGGAATAAATCAACAAAGAAATAGGGAACACGAAACACGTCATGCAATATGGCTCACTAAGATGGGGGAAAACCATCGACTGATGGTTGAAAAGTAACACTGCGATTGGTTACCAATTTGTGCCGGATAAAGGCACCCGTAAATTGTTATACTTTCTTGATAATTATGAAAAATATTTAAAACTGAACCTGTAGATCATTAGTCTAGATAATAGATCTACGATAGTGCGGTTCAAAGGGGGAATTCTATGCTATATACTGATGTCTTACCCAGCATATACACAGTAATAATAATAATAATAACAATAATAATAAGAGTGATTGCTTTATTCTAAACAAAATAGACGATATAGTATGGAATTAAAACAAATTGAAATAGGAGAATTTGGTTAAATGAATCCAGTGGGAGATTTTTTGAAACCCAAAGGTTTAAGCAGGTCGTTGTTTTTCAAAACAGTACAAAAAGCCTATAAACGTCTTCAGCTAAGAAATATTTCACGATTTTTGATATGGATCCTGAATTTATTCTATTATAAGATGCCGTTACTAGACGGTTTTCATAGTTCACCTGAAAATTATTGAAAAAACTTTTGTAATGCGTGAAATCGCATCTATAAATCATAATTCTCATTGTGGCATCAAAAACAAGCTATTCAGAGAAGAAGACTCTTTTCAACGAATTCATTCTCAAACTGTACATACCTATATTCGTATACATCAAAACTGACTGATTTAATCTGCTAGAACGTGTAGTCAAATATTGAACTATGAAACATTTCACTCTCAGCTGACTTCATCAACAAGGAATCATCGTGACTACATACATTACTAACAGATAAAATCATGAATAATTTGGACAACATAAATATCTAACTGAAGTCACAAGTAGATAGTTAATGGTCATCAAGAAGTATATGGGTGAAAGTTCAATCCAACATTTGTGATAAATTATGTCATAGAAGTAATCGATATTTATTTACTCCTATGCACTTCACTAGGAAGCTGATGTAAGTGAATATATCACAACTCGTTATTCTCGATGTATCATTTGACATGAAACACCAATAGAAGTTTAAGGAGGAACGAATTCATCATCATCAATATCAACATAGGACTAGCCATTACCACGTAACGGTACGAGTTACCACACCTCATATCAGTACATCAAGTAAAAAGGCAGTCACGTGCAAGATGAAGAAAAGGAAAATTCAGTCAAAAAAATATAAAGTAATAAAAGAGAGAATGCAAGAATCAGAAAATGGTGAGAATCGGTATAGCCTCGTCAAGATAAGGATAATGTGTGTAAGCATCTGGTCCACTGACATCGGTTCTCAACCATCTCATCACCTACAGTCTCCAATCACTGGTTACTCTCCTCCTACCAAACCCAAACAACTAGTCTGCATCGTCCTACATGGCTTAAACCAACAGTCAACCACTTCATACATCGGTGCCATGTTTCACTCTGGCCACCTCTGGCCTTTTCACAGCCTGAACCTACTTCAGACAACATTGTGTAACCAGGCAATCAGTGACCAGGCATACCTAGTACCTGTCCCAACCATCTCAGTCGATGAAGGTTCATAACCTCGTCAACTGATTTACCTCCACTCCCTATAACTCTACACCTGACTTCTGCATTACTCACATCGTGACACCAAACAATACGGCGGCCTATACTAAGAAGGCAACTGTGGTCAAATACCTGAAGCCAGCTTTATCATGTCCTCCACCTTCAGTCGCCATGTTTCACAGTCATACAGTAAAACTGACAAGACTGCTGTGCACTACACGCAACCCTTAGTACACAATCGAATATCACGGCGGCACCATAGGTAGCGTAAATTGGCAAAAGCCAGATAAGCCTTTCTTATCCGTGCACAGATTTCATCGATCACTGACCCACTACCAAAGCAGGGCTGATCCTACTTCCCAAGCATGTCAAGTCGTCAACACACCTCAACCACTTCACTCTCTATTGTTAGTCGTGGCACAGTTGAAGAACAATCCTGGAGCTACAATCTGCACTTCCATGGTCAGAAAGGCATCCCATACATTCTCAAATCCTCACTCAGTGTTCAGAAAACTCTGCATCTTATCAGCGTATTCACCTAACAGGACTATGTCATCTCCATATTCTAGGTCTAATGAAAATTATCCTGCAATTACATCAACGTCTGTGTAATCAAGTGACGAGAGGGAGATCTCCATAAGAATATCTATGGTAAAATTGAATAAGAATGGGGGGAGTGGGCACCCTTGACGGATACTACTTGATGAGCATAGCTCCATGGACATCTCACGAATTCATGAAAAGAACTGATGTGAATAATCAACTTGGAAATATCTTCTACACTTTGTTCCATTACTCTACACTGATGAATTCACATTTGATTGGACCGCTTGTGACATTAAAAAATAAACAAGATATTTGTTGGAGGGGAATCTGTTCAATGAATTTATTCTCAAGTTGTACGTACATTCGTATACATACATATACATGAAAGAAATGAAATTGGACCGCCCTCAGTCACCTTGTTTATATTCGTGCAGTAGGCAATGAGCCACATTTATTGTGTGAGGGTAGTACTGCTAATTGGCTACCGAAACCTCAGTACGTGGGGCGGGGTTGGAACATACGCCTAAACGGTCGGTAGTCATCTCCATAAACCAATGAGCACTATATATATATATATATATATATATATATACTGGGTGGTGATTGAAGGTGAGATGACAATTTGAACTGCGGCCGGACTCGATCCAGCGACCATAGGTAGATGTTAACACTATGCAGCAACCGTGGTTGACTAAGATCAGTAAGCAAGATACAGAATTCTGAAATAAAGTCATTCTATAACGCTTGAAAACGGCAGATATCCAGGAGAGTCCATTACCCTTGCATTGTTAGTATGAAGTGTCTCCTATACGAGGAAACAGGAAGAGCTATACGCTTGATAACAGTCCTCTCAGAGTTCCGTCTATGCGATCTGTGCTTTCTAACAATAATTAGCTCACAACGATGCTTTGATGGCTTTCATCTTGACGGAAGTAAGTCTCCTAGTTCTATTTATTACTATGCCTATTTCTCTTCTCCTTTTTTCAGATATTGTCCTAATTTGATTTGAGGCATGGTCCCACATTGGATTGGTCACTAGATACCCTGGTGACCGCACCGCTGGCCGTTATCAAAAGCTCAAAGCGATGAGGCTTGTATCAACCGTTCTGGCTGGGGAATGGGGTCTTCGGAAGCAGTCACCAACTGACTCCTGAACCTTATCAGTTGTCTGCTAACCACGTAGTCAGTAAGGACAGAAATGTCTGGGTACTACTGTCAAACCGTAGTAGCAGGAAGATTGATACTGGTAGGGTGATGAGTGGGATAACTCCAATCAGGGCACTCGCTAGGGAGATAAAGGTAGATACCCGGGACTCTTGGGCGTTAGTAACAGTGAATGATCTGCTTGATATACCGTTTTCATGCATATCCATCTAATTGGAAGCCAGTCTCATGGTCAGTAATGACTAGCTGACATGGGAATATTTATACGATACAGACAATTGATGATAATAACTGAAATATTATCTATAATGATTAATGATGAAACTCTAAGGAGGAAATAAACACTTTAAGATAACAGAAACTTCTAATAATACTAACCTTTTGTTAATTCAACTTTAGCATTCCCATGAGTACGACTTAAATAAACTTTTTTAACTAATTCCATATTAGACAATAATGTAATAAAAGCCATATAGTAGGCAAATGTAATACGACCATTGGTTTCACCTTGTAAAGCCACCTAGAAACAAGAAGCAAGGAAAAACAATATAATAACGTCAATAGTTCTATAAATATAAATTTACTTGCAAAGTAGTTTACATGATGAATTCGCAAAAGTTCAAGAATCATTGAAAACCTGAGAGTACTGGACACCTGTTTCGCCCTACTATGAAACTCCTCAGAAGTGACTACACACGACTTTGGCAGTGATCAAGCCTACGACCACCAAGTCACACGGCGAATGCTTTAACATTCAAAATCCAATATTGAGTAACCATCAATTAATATTATCGAGGAACATCTACCTTGCTCCTACCTTGTTTAATCCCACCGAAGACAATAGTTGAATACTGAGTGTTCACTTGATAGATAGATGTAAAGAAGGTGAAGAATAAGATAAGGGTCATAATGTGTCTCTGAGCACTATCCTTCATGGTTGTTGAGGGGAGAATATAAATCAATTAACAGTCAATTCTTGAACATTTGGTCAACTCTGGACATATAGCTAGACCAGAATCCTCTTTCAGTGTCATTTATCGAGTCAAAAGGAATATTTCAAAAGGAGTACGCCTTCGACAATTGTGTACAGTGGAAGCACTGGCAATTCATCAAGTCCGATCTCTGCGTGCAAAAGAAATATGTTCAATCTTTCATCTTACCTTGGTATTAACACTTTCATTTTTTCGATTTCATTATAATTAATTAGTTTATTATTATCGCCTTCACTATGACCCTTGTCTCATTCTTCACCTTCTTTACACCTATCTATCAAGTGAACACTCAATATTCGCGTTTCTCACCTACCAACAATTTTCACCTTAATTTGGTTGGTTGTGGCTAGCAGTGGGAACAACATCACTGGGGTGCAGGTACATCCGGCTGATGAGTCCCAAATGGGACGAAACGCGCGTCAAGCTGGATTCTTCTGCTAGACACAAACAATCAAATTATCATAATTAACACTCTGGTAATATCGAGGCATCCGTATAGGAGCCCATATGCTAATAGAGATCGAACAATTCGATCCAACAAAAGCAACGGAGAATAACAAGTATGTCAATAAATATTAATTTTCATCTTGTCTAACTCTTTGCCTTTCTTGTTATTTCTACTGTCTAAAAGATTATTACGCAACTACTTTGCATTCTTGATTCCGGTTCTTTTAGCACTGGGTTAGTGATGCAATTATACACAAGTGTTGAATAGTAAACAGTTATGATATTATTCAGTGCATAACTATGAAAATGGATTCATACTAAAGCTAATCTAAGTGTGGTTCATTGGTTTAGGCATTCGACTTCCCACAGATGGATCACGGGTTTGAACACAGCTTCATTATCATTAGTATGGCTTATTGCGAGTAAATTCACAACGTTGATGAGTGAATTTCAACTTCTATGCTTCGGAAGACTGTGTTTTGAACCTTCAAGTAGTTGTCTTCCTCAAAAACGAATTACCTTGTCGTTTTTTTTTTATGATGAGTTTTATATTTTATGTAACCGTAGTATGATGGCTTTCAACTATTATTTTTTGTACTAGAAAATACCATTTCCTAAAATATCTTTTTTTGTTCAATGATACCTTTAGAAAAATGTCCACACCTTTAGTGGATCTCTAATTTGCCTTGAAAGCTTCATGTGTTCTCAATGGTCCATCGGTAAAATGAATACGCAGAAACATCTAAATACATATACATTTTGTTCTCCCCTAATTAGCATCTATTGGATGTAAAATAAGCTAATTCAATTTTCTCTAGTTGTCTGCTTGATGGTTAGCAGTCAAATCCAACACACTCATTTCGTCCGATTTAAGACTCATCAGCCGAGTCTACCTATACTCCAGTGAGTGGTGTTGTTCCTATTGTGATTGGAACCCATTACTCATCGCTTCAAACATAGAAACGGGGAAATCATCACCTCTTGTGCAAAGGACAGCAGTTTTTGTTTGGTACTTGTAATCTTTCATCACTATACTAGGTCGAATAGCTCAATCTCTGTTTTCTCTTCTTTCAGCTTGTTCTGACTCACCAGTTTTGGAGCATACATCATATTGTCATCAAGTAAATCTATGTGCTTTGATGTAAATGGATTTTCTTACCCCTGAATCTCTATACAGAAAGGAGATTGTAGAAATAATGTTAAACATTCAAAGGTGTTCAGCTAGCTGTTTTCACGATTTAATTTATACTTCAATTTATGGTAACCCTAAGACGAAAGTTATGATAAAGTTAAACAAAATGACAATGAAATTAGCATATTCATCAATAAACAAACTTATTTAACTATCGACATTTACAGTCTTTTCTGGTTATACAAGAAAGCAAATGTACAACAATGGATAACTGTTTTCAACTCTTCTAAAATCACAGTTATTGTACTTATTTGTCAGAGTCGATAAAAATTATTTACTCACCGTTTGAATAGTGTCTATCTCTTGTTTAACATGGGTATCTGGATGTAAGATATCCCTTTAAGCTAAGCACATACATACATGCTTCATATGATATACATTGATAAGGCATGAGATGTGGTTTTGTTGATTTAGCCATCCTACTTTCAACGAGTAGGTTATGAGTTGGAATGTCATCCCATCTACGAAGCTATGGAGCAGCTAGCTATTACCCTAGCACTCATATAATAAATGTTTGGCTCATTGCCTACTATCCGAGAAAACATATGATTGCTGAATACATTTCGATTTCAACCGACACCGATAAGTTGATATAAATGAAATCATCAGTTGTAAGAAAGTGATATATTGTTGTATCAATAGGATTAACGTTGCAAACTACCCCTGCCAGCCAACATTACAAGGTGTAAATCTCTGACACAAAAGTGTCGTTAACTACTGGGCAACTTGAGTGGTTAGAAAGTACTTAGGTTGATGTGTAGATTTCATTAGTCAGATCAGAGTGATCTAAACTGAACGGTCACTTCACTAGTTCGGTGCTGAGCTCACTAGCGATATTTCCGGACAAGTTCAGTTCATAGAACCGAATTGAATGGTAGACGTTGACGATTCGCACAGCAACCTGATCCCATAAAATTTACAAGATAAAAATTTGAATTTATCTTTTCTACTTCATGTGTATCATTTGGTTGTACAGCTTTTAATGACTCTAATTTCCTACTGGTCACTCATCCGCTTTTAATATGCTTATTTGTCTATTCGACTCAAGGGCATTGGCTATGGCCTGCATACTCCGTAAGCCTGGTTTTATATACTTCCAATGACATAAAATTCTTCAGTCTAGATGCTGTCGTATTTCTTTGAACTGACCAAGCAAGTTATCATATTTCATTTATCCAGTGTTCAGATTAAGCGTTCGATATTCAAAAATCTTAATAATGGGCAAGAAAGGGTGGTTGAAAATGCATTTCCTTAAAATTCGGTTGTTTTCCTAATTAACAACCCGGTGGTCACTGGTTCGAATCCGGCCGCGGTCCAGATTTTCATCTCACCTCTAATCATAACTCAGTAGAAATACTACTAGTCTGCCAAACTGCGGCTATCTCAAATAGTGAAATCATAACAAATTAAAGTTACTGAGTTGATCACTACGGCAAGAATTACTGTTACTGAGCTGTTAAACGTCACTCCGATCACACTATAATACCTTCTATTGGTGACACTGCTAACAACACTAAGATGTAGATGCTTTTTTCACCTTCGACATCTGATTCCGGTGGTACGAAGGTCATTTTAAGTATGATTCTGCTGGTCACAATCTGTAGAATATCACTAGCTAGATAATCTTCAACTTAACACTTCCTTAGTCCAATCCGGACGTCAAGGTGCTTTTGAAGTAGATACAATCTGTCGAATAACAGATCCCCATAGAAACTGTGATAAAACGCCCCTGGTTCATCTTCTAATGTGGAGCATTATTCCTGAAATTCTGATAGACTACTGAAGAAGATATCCTCGTCAGCTGGCTGTCAAGTAAAGTATTTCGCTTTCCCAGTGTCTAGATTAGAAGTCCATAGTCCAGCACTTATCTCTTGTGTGTGGACGAATGATTCAGGTTGATTATATATCATTTTTACTATCTGAGATAGTCATGGTTTGGTAGGCTAGTGTTGACACTGGATTATGATTGAAGGTGAAATAACAATTTGGATCGCGGCTGGACTCGAACCAGAGACCACCGGTTTTCCTGCCCGATGCCCTACCAACTGAGCTACGAGGTCCAACCGCTAACCAGAGTTTTACTTCACTCAAATCATCAAGAGTTTTGCCCGATAACCATGTGGATTCGTGGCACGTTACTACCACTTGATCGTATTCACATTGGCTGCCTAGTCAGGACTTCTTACCCTAATCTCAATCTAACTGAAATAGAGAGCGGGGAGCATCATATTGATTATCATTTTGACTATCTGAGATGACAACTGTGGTTTGACAGACTAGTATTGATACTGGGTGATGATTGAAGCTGAAATGACAATTAGAACCGCGGCCGCAGTATTAATTGCATATTCCAAGTCGAGCCCCATTGGTTTGAGCAATATCATTCTCTTGTGCTTTGTTCTGTTTTTCTGGATATTCACACCCTTTGACAGAGTGACTTTAACAGTCAAAGTTTCACATGTTTAAAACTTTACGCTTCGATAATCTATCAAAAAAAAGGTGAGCATTACAACTGTTTCAAAACATGGGATCAAATACAATTAGACACTTACCTATTTTGAGGGAGTTATGGGGATTTGGAAATATTTCAAGTTGTTATTCATTGTAGACTGACATCAGTAGGAGGAACAAAAGAAATCTGGGAGCACTGGACAGCTGTTTTGTCCTAGTATGGGGTCGTGGGCACGCGCTGCTGAAGAGTCACATACTAGGACGAAACAGCTGTCCAGTGCTCCCAGGTTTCCTTTGTTCCTCCAACTGATGTCAGTCTACGATGAATAACAACTTGAAATATTTACCTATTTGTTGTTTGGTAGTTTAATGACTGTATACAACCACCACCAAATGAAATATAAGGAGAAAAACAATCGAAATACACTTAGCAAACACATGTACATTCGTCCAGTAGGCTGATGATAACTACCTAGCGATACACATTAGCTTCGATAGGCGAAGCGATAATGAAATGCATGACCCACTTGGTTGACAGTAGACTGGTGGTTAAACACCAGTCCACTAAAGCTTCACAAATACATAGTTTGAGAATGTCAATTGGATAGAGGCAATCAACACGAAGCCCTAGATCCGGGTTTCATGTCTTTTGGCACTCGTCAGCAAGGCGTATCTGTAATCTCTAAGGAACTGAAGTTCACACCTGAGATTATAACCCACGTCATCCACTCCTGCAGTCAAAGACGTCACCATCAAGTTATTCGGGCCGCGATTGACTTCACCAAAGCTTCTCGAATACAGAGATAGATTATGCACAGACACTAATTCTTTACTTTCTTCATTATTTTAACGGGATATAAAAACTGTCTCTTCATTCACTGAATACAATAATGCAAGAAATAGACAATGGTACAGAACACAAAACACTTGGACAACAAATATAAAATTCTATATTACATTCGTTTATCTGATTTATAACACACAGTGAAACAGTATTATTTACTGGATGACGATGTTTCAAGCATAAATTATTTCTCATATTCATATCACTGTAATCATACTACTTTTATAGTCCTGTCACCACATGACATTCCTTGTTTCTATTGCTAGTAAAGTTTTCCATATCTCTGGTATGGGTGTGGTCTCATTCCCATTACATGTTTTGGATGTTGGTTGATTCGATATACAAGGACTCAGTAATCAATCTCTATCTCTCTGTCTGCACCTAATTATATTGGACTTGATTAATACAGTGGTATTATCCCATCCACCTCATTGTGTGGTTGTGTGTTAATGCATCCATTGCAATAGTCGAGAGGTTTTCTAGATTAGTGATCTTATTCGAGTCTGTCATTCTATATTTAGATAAGTTACTATGTTGACCAATTCTTGTTGACGCCGACAGGCTAGTTTCACCTATGTACTTGACCTGACTCACAGTCATTACATGGAATCTGATAGATTAGATCATTTCGCTCAATTGGCTCCATCTGATCCTTAAGCCAACCGACATCGTTTATCTCTGAGTGAGTTTGTAGGTTTAAATGCCACCCTAATTTCAGCTTTGTTGAGAATCCTACGTAAACTTTGTGATGTACCTTCTTTATACGGTAACACAATGGAGGCTGTAAACTTATCATCATCAATATCAACATAGGACTAGGTATTACTGCGTAACGGTCCGAGTTGCCACACCTCATATCAGTACATCAAATAGAAAAGTAGTGAGGTGAAGGATGAAGATAAGAGAATGCAGTCAAAAGAAATATAAAGTAGGAGAATAAAGAAAGGAAGAGTGAGAAAATGGTGAGATCCGGTATAGTGTCGTTAAGATGAGGATAATGTGTGTATACATCTGCACCACTGACATCAGCGCTGTGAAATCCTCACTACTTGTGTTATCTTTATTATTCGTTATCGTGTTACTGTTATCATTTCGTTACTTATGTGTTTGTATTAATTTCTTGATAAATTGCAGAGGATAATTATTAACTATTAGTGCTTCTTTTACGTGTTTCAGTTCCTTGTTTATGTGCTTGCACTGACTAGTCAGTTTTCTAGCTCTATCATTTAGACACCTGAATAAACCTGCCTTAAGTGATATTAGATGAGACGAGGTGAAGTCTAAATACCTGTTAGAATGTGTTAATCGAATCAACCAACACATGTAGTAAGCATGACACCACATCTATACCAGAGATATGGGGAAGTTTACTACCAATACAAACAGAGAATAACAGGTGACAGGACTATAAAAGTCAGATGTTGAAAGTGGAGCGTGATTACATTGATATGGTTATGAGCAATGATAATTTATGCTAGAAACATCGTCATCCAGTAAATAATACTATCTCGTTGTGTGTGATAAATCAAATAAACAAATCTAATATGGAATCGCATTCTAACACAGTGCCCAAGTTTACACTTCTATTAACAAAGATATAAGTTGAACATATACACCACAAACACCCAATATCATGAATATATGTTAAAAATGATTTATAAACAAAGAAGGCTTAATAGTGAACACGAACTGTTAAATAAACAGGTTTCCTATAACACGCTTCAATCCCCTCCATGGTCACAAGAGGTATATACTCAGTAGATTGTGTAAATATACTTACTGTTAGTAAATTCTCTTTAATGAATTCAGTTAACAAGTGTCTTTTGATTTGTAATATTATATCTTTAAATTGATTCACTGTAATTGTTCCTGTATTTTCCTTATCCGATTGTTTAAATGCTTGTATAGCATGTTCATCATTGAAATCCTAAAGTATGGGTATATTTGGAAGAGAAAAAAAGAATGATAAAAAGTGTAAATTTATGCATAGTAGATTGAATTGATCAATGTCCATCGCATATGGCCACCTAAGCGGATACCTTATTATAATTTACTTGACGTTTTGTTCAGTTGACAAATAATAACGGATACCCGTTGCAGAAGAAGTGGCCTTTCATGCTTTAGTGGATAACTTTACAGCGTTAGGTGGTGGGTTCGAATTTCAGTGGGGACACTATCACTCATTGAGGTGTAGGTACATCCAACTGAGAAGTGCCGAATGGGGCCAAAACGCACGTCCTGTAATCCACACCGTTAGCCACCATCAAGTATATTACTAAATAAGCGTAGACGTTAGGTGACTTCATTACAGAATAGTAAGCTTGTAACATTAACTTCAGGATTCTTTCCATCAGAAGATTATCCACAAAGACATATTTATTGATATCCGTCAGTGATCTATGGGACACGCGAAATGGACAGTTGATAATATGGCTTAGGATTCTTGGTAGCTTTTACGTCTCTCTATCTTCACAGTCAGCTAAAATCGACATGTGACCTAGGACTACTGAGTAATGGTTCAAGTTGCCATACCTTCATATAAACATCAAACGAGAATTCATCAACATGAACAATATCGAAATAAGAAAGTAGTCAGAAGTGGTAGAAAGTCGTGAAGAGAGAGAGACAGAGAGAACAAAGAAGAATGAGATAGCAACGGAATTTAGTATGACACTTACGATGAAGAGATAATGTGCAGAGCAGCAATCGATCGAGTCTGCTTACGCGCTACATCATCGTTTTCATCTCCTTGCACTTCCCCTCTTTTTAACTTTCCACCCGGATATGTTTATCTCAAGTGTAGGAATTTAAAACAACACAATTATGCCAGGTCATGTTCAGCTAATGCAAATGAAGATGATTGTTTTGTCTCCTTTTCAGATCTCTTCTTAAATTTATGCTCGAAACTACTATCCACCTAATAATGATTTTTTGTTCACGGAGATTCTATCGGGAGGTTTGTGATTCATTAATCGATTTTAGGCTGGTCAGATAGAATTAATCTAGCGCACATTGGTGACTAGCTTCGAGAGATGATCCCCACAGTTCCAATAAGAAGTTGTGGCCAGTGGAGTCACTCAAATCGAACATGACGATAGCTACTCAACGATTACATTGGATGTAGGTCGCACCATATCGTGAACTAACAGAAGTTGGAAATATGGACCATTGGAATCCGACCAAATAGGTCAATGGTAAACGTGATGACAATGGAACCTGAAGGTCCTGGGATCGATCCTGGATGCTCTGGGTCATGGTACGCACAGTTGGAATTCCCATACTAGGACAAAACACTTGCCTGGTACTCCCAGATATTCAATGTTCTTCCAACTGATGTCAGCCCACGATGAACTCCAACCTAAAATCGATTGACGGAGACCTTTGAAAATATAGTATATACTAACTTACCCACTTTTATGTATCCACCTTTAGAAAAATAACAGCTCTTTATCCAACTATACCTCCGAAAGTATAGAAATGCAATGAATGAGTTATGATCATAGAATTTGATTCCATACTTTATCAGTTTATCCTCTTCAATGGATCTATGAAATATTTAGCCTGTAATCGTTAGATTATAGGGGTTGGAATTCTATTCTATCGATTAGATAAAAACTGTTGGGTAGTGAAGAAGTAATTTAGACCTTCATAAGTGAAATCGGCATGACATATATTTGCTGAACTTGATTCATCTTCTTACTTTATTATCTTTCAGTGAGCAGAATACCAGGAACGCTAAGTTCTAACAGCTATTCGAACTAATTGTAGGAAAACTCCAACTTGCAGACAGGTAGTAAAGATTAGTGACAAATTTTGAGATGAAGGTTGTACTCTTTGTTATGATATCATCTATCAATGGAGATAAAACTACCCCAGATTACATACCGGAGAAATTCTATGAATACAATAACACGATATTAAACACCAAGGCAATAAACTTCCTTAAGGTATCCTTAATCACTAACCGATGTACTGTATCTCCATTCCTATTAAATTTTATCATAGATGTTCTTATGGCGATTTCCTTCTCGACATCCAATTACACAGTGATTGACCTAATCACAGAAAAAATTTTGGTAGATCTAGAATACACAGATGACATCGCCCTGTTAGTCAAAGACACTAACATGGTGGAGATTCTTCTGGACACCTTCAGTTGGAATTTGAGCATGTTTGGGATGAGTTTTTTGCCAACCAAATGTAAATTGTCGTTTCAGGACTGGTCTTCGACGGTCCCCCGACTAACAATAGAAAGTGAAGTGTTTGAGTGCATTGAACACTTCACCCACTTGGAAAGTCAGATCACCACTGGCCTCGTGGCTCAGTGGCCAATGAAATCTCTTCACAGATACAATAGGCTCGGTTGGCTTTCGCAAACTTACACCATCTATAGAACCGCCGAGATATCCACTTATTTGTAAATGGTCGAGTGTATTGTGATGTAGTCCGCTCAGTTCTACTGTTTGGCTATGAAAGATGGCCATCGAAGGTGGAAGACATGAGAAGGCTTCAGGTGTTTGAACACTGTTGCCCTCCTAGCATAAGCCGTGTTTCGTGGTGTCCTCACGTGAATAACTCAGAAGTCAGATGTAGAGTTTTAGGGAGGTGAGGTGAGGTGAGTCAGTTGGTAGGGTTGTGAACCTTCATCAACCGAGATAGTTGGGGTATGTGTTAAGTATGCTTAGCCACCGTCTACCTCGTCGCACAATGTTGGCCGAAGTAGGTTCTGACTGCGAAAAGGCTTGAGGCGACCAGACTAAAACATGGCATCAATTCATGAAGTCGTTGACTGCTGGTTTAAGCCATATACGGCGATGCAGAGTAGCCGATTGGGGTTCTCGGGAGAAGAGAAATCAGTGGTTAGAGACTCTAAGTGATATTTTTCATTCTTCCTTCCTCTCTCTTACTACTTTCTACTTCACTTCCCTTGACCTACTTTTCTTTCCTCCTTCACCTATTTTATTGCCTTGCTGGTTGACGTGCTGATATGAGGTGTGGCAACTTGAACCGTTACGCAGTAATGCCTAGTCTTATGTCGATCTTGATGATGATCAGATACTGTGAGGTTGCTTTATTCCAATATGCTTACTTTCCCAACAGGTTGTCATCAAACAAATGTATAAGTTAACAGTTTGATCATCTGAGATAACCGTGGCTTGGCTGACAAATATTGATACTGAGTGATAACTAGAGGTGAAATGGAAATCTTGGTCACGGCAGGGTCCGAACCAGCAACCTTCGGGCATCCTGGGTCGGAGGTCGCTAGTTCGATCCCTGCCATGACCAAGATTTTCATTTCACATTCAGCCGTCACCCGGTATAAATATGTAAGTATGTACATTAAACTTGATGATCAAAACCATGCATAACTCTTTTTTGAAAGAAAAAAACAAAACAACTTTACATGAATAATTTGCGTAAATTCATTGTAATCGATTTTACGTGATCTATCTTTTGCAAAATGTAAGCTGATGAAATCACAATTGAAATTGAAGGCGAACTCTTTGTTCACTGTTGTCAAATTGAGTGTATTCTTGAAGTTTTCTACAAAAACAAAATGAGAGAAGAAAAAGAGAGAGAAACGATAGACAGAAGGAGTTAAATTTGAATAGGATAAAGTGATGAGATAAGTAATGTATATTCTTATTCACAACAATGATCAGGTCCAGATAAGTGAGTCATGTTAAGGTTAGGCGAAGTGTACTAGGCAAGACAGGCAACTCAATTGATGAGGTTCTGAACCCTGGTTGACTGAAGTGACTTTGATATGTACTGAGCATGCAGATCCAACGCCTACCTCGACCTGCAATGGTGACGGAAGTTGTATTAGGTTGGAAGGGGGTTTAGGGTGACCAGACCAAATCCATGAAGTCTGGCTCTTGGTCTGAGTTGTCTAGACAGATGTGGACTATCTGGTTGGGGTCTCCGAGACGACAGGAATCAGTGGCTAAGGACTCTTGATGATATGGATGAAAATCGGTGACAACGGTGCAGATGTATTCACATCTTGATATCTCCTAAAGCTTGAATGTGTAAATTAAACTTCATCTTCGAATTCTTTATTGTCTCACACAAATTTGTTTACCTTGATATCACTCCTTTTCTATCCATCTGTTCTTTGTATACTCTTGTGTATTGCGGCAATCTGAACCCATGTAATTGTGTGCGAGCTTCTACGTCGATTATATCTGTTTAGATGAGTCAACAAATAAAAAACATGTACAAGTAACCATGTTTTTGGTTGTATTGGGTTCTCTGAGTTGGGTTGTTTAATCGCGGAGGTCTCATCGTCTTTCTAGACGACATGGAATCACCGATATCCGGACTAATTGCAGAAGCGGTGATGCAAAGACTGGAAGCCATCATTCTACCTGTGATCAAGCAAAAATTTGGATTCGCTATGTAGACCATACTTTGGTCATCATTAAAAAGGATGATACAGAAAACACCCACAGTTTGATCAACAACGTATTCAACTACATCAAATTCACAATGGACAAGGAGTCAAACAATAAGCTGCCATTCCTGAATGTTTTAGTCAGTAGAACAAATGCTGGAAACCCAAGTGTACAGGAAGCCAAATTGCATTGATCAAAACCTCAACTACAGTGGCAACGATCCAAAAACGCATGAAATCATTTGCGTGCAGACTCTATTCAAAAGAGCGAGAACACACTGCAGCACAACAACGTCACAGAGAAAAGAAGAAAATTAGTTGGTGTCCATCTTAAAGAAGAACGGCTACCCACGAAACTTTATCAGAAGATCTCTATCCCATACATCATCAACTACAAAGTCATCGACAGAAATCAATAAACTCATCGTCCTACCATACATAAAGAATATATCAAAAATCATGACAAGATTACTGAGAACACATTGGAATTGGTGTGGCTCATAAACTAAGACATTCCCTTCAAACCATATTATGCTGACCGAAGGATGCAACAACCAAAGAAGACACAATGAATATCATTTACAAAATCAATTGCAATAACTGTAGTCAACACTACACTGGATAAAGTGGTCACTCTCTTCACCTTCGTCTACATGAACACCAATTGGCTATTAAGCTCCACAACGTTTCGTCACTCATTTCAGTGCATGTGGATAGTTATGAACATGAATTCAATTTCGACAATGTGAAAATTTTGGACAGAGGAAACACAAAGAATTTCAGAGAATTTCTAGAAGCTTGGCATTCAGATCAGTCAGTCAGCAATCAATAGATGTATAGACACAGACCCAACCTATCAACCAATAAGAAAAATGATAGACGACAGATAGGTCAGAGATTAAGCAGAAGAACACTCAATAGGAAAATCTATGCAGTCAGTCAATGACACAACAATCAAAGGGAACAAACAACCACAAACCAGTTTATCAGAACAAGCTTCCAAATCACTCACAGAGAGATATTGATAACTCACTTCATATTCAAGTTAGCGCTGATGAAGCTGTCGAGAAAGATGATGAAAGCTCCACGATTAAACTATCCAGCTCAGAGAACACAATACAACCAAGACCATCCACCTGAGCTGTATGTAGTCTCCACCATTTAACAAGTAATTATGAAAAATGCATTTTATCATCAGGACATCAGATATGAAAAGGGTGAGTAGAGGGAGAGCGGAAAGATGGAAAATCAGGTGAATACTTAGCATTTAGTTTCATTTTGCAGTGCTTCGAATCAATCAACGAGAAATCTCGAGAGGGACCAATCAAAATGTACCTTATGTTATCACGTCTATAGTTAGACAGACAGACGGTGGGTCAGTGAATCAATAGGATTATTTTAAACATCGAAATATCTATGTATTTGTATTATTGTTTGGATTATACCATCGCTGATTGGACCAAATTGGTCGGTCTCTATTGGGGTATGGGCTCCTGTGCGGATATCTCGATATTACCTGAGTTCTTATTATAGTAATGATGGATAGTGGCTAGCAGTGGAATTCAAGGTGCGCATTTCGTCCTATTTGGGACTCGTCAACTAGATGTACCTGCCTCCCAGTGAGTGATATTCCCACCGGGATCCGAACTCGGAACCGATCGCTTCAAACACCAGAGCGTTATGCACTTGACCACCGAGCCACTTCTTATGTGACGGGTATAGTTTTTGTATCATTGCTTGTATGATACCGTCTTTAAAATGGAATGGATTGGTCGGTCTCTATTGGCGTTTGAAGCGATGGGTCTCGGGTTCGAATCCCGGTGGGAACAACATCACTCACTGGGAGGTAGGTACATCTAGCTGACGAGTCCCAAGTAGGACAAAATGCGCATCCTGGATTCCAATGCTAGCCACTATCCATCATTATCTATATATTAGCTGCATTTTCCTTTGTTCTTATCGTCGGTCTTTCGACCTCAATACACGTATTCTACACATCCATCGTATCTTCTCCATTAATTAGTCGGGTCAGGAATTAACTAGAAATTTGTTGAATGCTGGTGTCTAGCAGTCGATATCCGTGCATTGTTAGCGGCCACAGCACATGGCAATTTTCGAATCATAACAAATATGTAACTCTTAAACTTCAGGTACTAAACCCTAACGACACTCCACCTCCTTTGGTTTTATAGGAATTCTTATTTTTCGCAACAACAACTCTAAATGTGAACAAATTTTGGCAATATATTTTTTTACACCACAAAAGAAAGCAACAGGAATCGATTTTTCAGGCTTTTGAGTGATAACAATTAACCTCGATGTGTTTGGTCTGTGGTTTATAACAAGGTAATTTGTTAGCTGATAAATGACTGGTCAGTTGGATTATATAAAATACGTTTGCACTGAAAGTCATTGTTTCTGTTATCCAGCATGCCTAAGCTGAATACATAAAAGTACCTATTCAGTCTTGTTCACACGACTACTAATACAGTTATTGTGTTTTCCTAGGAAATTTCAATGATTAATACAGCGGGATTACATGTCTGATTGCAGTTAAAATATTTAAGGTTTATCTTTGGATATTTGTTTGAACCTATGATAGTTCAGATAACTTCAAAGTCAGGAGCATAGTAATTTATACCAAGCTAGTATTCATCATGGACGGACATCAATTGGAGAACTATTGAAAACCTGAGAGTACTGGATAGCTGTTTCATCCAAGTACAGGACTCCTCGTCAGGGATCGAACTCCGGATGTTCAGATTTCACTAGGAACCTGTTAACCATGAGAACAGTGCATCATTTCACAATGTAGCGCGACTATCTATCAAAGTCTTCAGTTGGCATCTGCTTTACTTTCCACTGATTGACTTTATTCTAGGATGAAACAGCTATCCAGGGCTTTCAGGTTCTCGCTGTTTCTCTAGCTGACATCCATCCGTGAAGAATACTATCATGAACCACCATAAACTTCAAACTCAATGATTTATTTGTTATGAAACTTGAATTTCCAATAGGATAAATGAATAGGGGTGTTTATTGAAGACTAAGTCTTTTTGTTAATATTAGCGTAAAACGCGAGCATTGTAGTAGAATGTAATTTCATTTTAGTTGATTTATTGGGAAAAAACCCAGAAAACAACGAGCAAAACAGACCTAAGAAATCAGATACATTAAAGACACCTTACTCATCAACAATTACATTCTTTGGTAACTATAAAAGATACATGACTAATATAAGTAACACTAAAGTTAATAGTAGTAATGATAACAGTACCAATACTGGGAAGAGAGAATTCAAAACCTCTAGAGTATTACCATTCAAAGAAGGCACCTGAAAGACATTAGGCAGGATTCTCGATCAGGTTGGTTGGGATTAGAAAGGCATTTAAACCTACAAACTCACTTAGGAATAATATTTGTAGGTTAAAAGATCCTACTGACCCAATTAAGCAGAATAACTTAGTTTTCTAAATCCCTTGCAACGGCTTGAAGGTCAAATACACAGGTCAATTCAATCGACCAGGGTCAGTTAGTCTATTCGAGCACAAATTGGTCGATCCTAGTAAGATAAGAAATCTAGGAGAGAAGCTCGACCACAGCTCTATGCATGGAATTACACACAACCACACAATAGGATGGGACAGAGTGAAAATCTTTAAAACTAACATAGCAGGGTAGAGGACGAAGTTGATAACTGAATCTTTGTTCACCGAGTCAACACCCAATTACGTGCAGCAGGAATGACTCCATATCTACTCCTGAAATGTGGTAAATTCTACTACTCATATCACAAAGGAGACGAGGAAATTAGAACTATATAAATCACGTCTTAAAGTTGTGTAGTTATCCTGATATGACTATGGACAAATTATGTTTGTAGTGTTCCACTACATGATAAATTTTCTCGTCTTTTTAGTTAATTACCATTATTGTCTAGTCTTTTTATCGTTAAGATTTCGATTGTGTGATTGAGTAGTTAAAAATAAGAGAACAATTTTTCTGATAGGATTAGAAATATTATGCAAGAACGAAGAGTACTTAGGACGTTGAAAATAAACACCTAAATATATTTTTGAGATGAATGGGGACTTTTAATTTAGAGGTAGCATTCATCACGGATTGACATCAGCTGGGGAGCCATTGAAAATCTGGGAGCACTGGATAGCTGTTTCGTCCTAGTGTGGGACTCCTCAAAATTACGCACCCACCACCCGGCTAGGGATCGAACTCAAGACCTTCAGGTTTCACGGCGTACGCGTTAATCATATCAGTCTGTGATGAATACCACCTCTAAGTTAGAAATCCCCATTCATCTCGAAAATACATTACTGTATAGTGCTCATTAGTGACTTGATTCCAGATGGATATCACAAAGTTCTAGTGAGAAGCCGTGACTTGTGGGGTCAACCAGTCAGAAGTAAAACGGATGCCAACTGAAGACTTTGGGTGATAATCACGCTATATAGTGAGTTGACAGAATTTGGAAATTGTGAACCACTGAAAACCGACCTAGCGGTTGATTAGCTGACGCGTTCGCCGTGAAACCTGAAGGTCCCGAGTTTGATACCTAGCCGGGTGGTGGGTGCGTCCTACTGATGAGCTCCACACTAGAACGAAACATCTATCCAGTGCTCTCAGATTTTCAATGGTTCGCCAACTGATGTCACTCCGTGATGGATACTATCTCTAAACCTAAATATAAATAAATTCGGTGAAACTATACAATTTTGCCGACCTTGAGCGACTACCAAATGAGTTGTGAACCAGACTGAAGCTTTGAATTACTTGATAAAAGGATTTCTCTGATCCTAGATAGGCGGCTTATGCACTACTCTGATGATGATAATTTCCATTGAATCAGAGAGCAATCATTTCTCATATTATCTTATCTCAGAATGTTTGCTAATTCTGAAGGGTTTTTAATGTGCTAGCATTTATCAAGTAGAATTCACACTCAAGTACGCTTTAGTATTTGGCTGCCAAACAGTAAAATTTAATCAACCTTCATTGGCCGAGATGGTTGGGACATGTGCTACGTATGCCAAGTCGCCGATTGCCTCGTCACACAATGCTGGTCAAAGTAGGTTCAGGCTAGAAAAAGGCCCTATACGGCCACACTAAAACTTGGCATCAATGCATGAAGTCGTTGACCTTTCGTTTGAGCTTTGTAGGACGATGCACACTAGCCGATTAGGGTCCACGGGACAAGAGAAACCAGCGGTTAGAGACTCTAGGTGATATGGGTCAGAACCGATGTCAGTAGCCCAGATGTATTTACACATTATCCTCATCTTAATGCTATACCAAATCTCATTCTTCCTTTCCCTCTTTTGTTACTTTATATTTTTTTCGACTGAATTTTCTTTCCTTTTTCATCCTCCACTTCACTACCATTTTACTTGATGTACTGATGTGAACTGTGGCAACTCGGACCACAATGCCTGGTCCTATGTTGAATGGGATGGATGGATGAATCAAAATCCTTATTTTAACTCCCTAAACGCTACCATTAGATTCTAATTAAGCTTCCATTACTCATTTAATCATATTACACTTGAATAATAAAAAAAGGGAACTATGAAAGATCATTGTATTGTGTATACATACTGATAAACAGAAAGTAGACAAAAACTATATACAAACAGTTGTTTTAAGCAGAAACATATAGTTCACTTACCAAATGATATGTTCCCCCGACCATCTTGATTAAAAAGTTCAAATGCCCATGAATACAAAGAATCACATGTACAGAGAAGTGCTTCAAAGGCAAGAAATTCTTCAAATGAAATCAGTCTACAAGGAAGGATATGCAACAACAGTAGTTATGCAGACTATATCCATCCAGTTTTTTTATCACTTATGCCACCATCTAATGACTACCAACTACTATACACATAGATGAAATGCAACTGAAATGTCTTCGAAGGATTCGTAATATATATATATAGGATCAGGAGACAGACACATGTTTTATAGGGAACAAGCCGATCCAAGTTTATATCAACAGTTTGATGAGTTGGAAAATAAAGTAGAAATTCGTTGTCACCTTATGAACATTCGTGTAGTATGCAATGAGCCACATACCTAGTGTGTGACGGGTAATGATACCACCTGGCTTCCCATGCCTCGGTAGGTGGAGCGCTGTTTCAATCCATGAATCACTGAGCCACAGTTCTCCTTGTTACAAGCACTCATGAATCAGTCAGTATTATTCAATAAAGATACTAGTTCGACTATCTGAGATAGTTGGAGGTTGGGATCCTACTATGGCCTAGATTTTCTATTTCACCTTTAATCATCTCCCAGCATAAATAAAGATATCTCTTAATCTTTGCTCCCTTATTTCCATCCTTTCTGAAATATTTCAAGTTAGTATTCATCATGGATTAACATGAGTTGGAGGAACATTGGAAACTTAGGAGAACTGGACAGCTGTTCCGTCCTGATGGTAACGTGCTGGCCACGGAACCTGAAGATCCTGGGTTCGGTCCCTGGCGAGGTTTATGGGTGAGCGCTGCTGAGGAGTCTCACACTACAGCGAAACAGCTGTCCAGTGCTCTCAGGTTTCTAATGTTCCTCCAACTGATGTCAGTTCATGATAAATAACAACTTGGAAAATCACTGAATTCCCACAAACCCCCAAATTCAACTTTCTGAAATTAGTGTTTACACTTCCGATTCATCCACATTTCCCCACCTCTCGGTTGTAATCTGTTCCCAAAGTTTAAAGTATTCCATCTACATACATATATTTGACTGGGTGAAGTCTCCTGGATAAGTGCAGAATTTATCTAAGCATATTCATGCTGAGAAATGTCCTTGTTTCCCAGAAAACTTAATGAATGACATACGGCATGATTTTGTCGTTTCCTTTTTTTGTAGTCTAGTTGATGGCTAGCAGTGGAGTCCAGGACGCACGTTTCATCCTATTTGAAACTCGTCAGCTAGGTATACTTGCACCACAGTGAGTGATGGTGTTCTTACTGGGACGCAGGTGCATCCACGTGACAAGTCCCAAATGGGACGAAATGCACGTCCTGGACTCCACTGTTAACCATCAAAAAGACTACAATATAGTTAATATCCAGGTAGTATCGAGGCATCTACATAGGAGCGTATCTGGGAACAGAGATAGAGGAATTCGGTTCTGTATAGCTACAGGAGATTACAAGTATCAATAGACAACTTATTATGGTAATTTACTTGGTAGTGACTAGTAGAGGAATCCAGGACGCGCGTTCTGTCCTATTTGGGACTCGTCGACTGGATGTGCCTGAGACTCTAACATCGTACCCATCGCTTCAAACGCCAAAGCGTTGTCTACTAAGCCACGAACAGTTAAACCAATACTTGTTATACAAAAGTTGGCTATCGTACCTCAGTAGCCCCACTGACAACGATTTAGCGTTTAAGGCGATGAGTACGGTGTTCGAGTCTCAGGTACATCCAGTCGACGAGTCCCAAATAGGACAAAATATGAGTTCTGGGTTCCCCTGCTAGCTACAACTAAGTAAATTACCATAATAAATATTCAAGCAATATCGAGGCATCCACGTAGGAGCCCATTCGCCAAAAGAGGGCGAACAATTTGACCCAGTAGAACAACAGAGAATTACAAATACTTGTAAACAATTCATGATTATGATTTCACTTTTTCCATCAGTAAATTTACTCAAGTGGATTGTCAGTTGACAAAGTGATTTGCTAACAATTAGACTATTTTAGATCATTCTGTTGACTGTCTCCTGAGTGGGATGAGAAACGCTATACTACACGGTATGCAGTTTTGGTCTGTTGCTGATTCCCATCTAGTAATTAATAAATCAGTTGACCTTGTATCGAGGATAGCTGGAGACATAAGACCATTTGGTGTATTCAGTGATCATATCACAAGAACATAGTTCGTAGTATATAAAAATTACCGCGAAGTGCACATAAAGGTAGAGTATCACAATTATGCATGATTAAGTAGGGAATAGATGTCAAGCAGATTTTCAAAAAAGTCATGATAAAATGAAATTTTACAAGTTTAAGAGGGAAAAAGAATACTCAACAACCTTATGCATATTCATACAGTAGGTAATGAGTTACACATTGATTGTGCGATACTAAATTGGCTGCCTATACTTCGGTAGGCAGAGCGGCGTTCGAACCCGTGACGTGTTAGTTGTGGGGTCAGTTGCTTACACCAGTGAGCCATAATTTAAGAAGGAAAAGAAAGTAAAGATATGCGACATGCACAAATCTCTTCTAAACATTTATTACAACTATATAATCTTAATGTTAGTTAGAGAGAATGAATACGTATGCTGGTCTGATTATTACCTTGATAAATACCTTAAAAATTAGTTTCAACTTTATCACGGTAAATAAGTTAGTAACAAAATAACCAATTTTTTATAGTTTTACGATGAAGTCATCGATATATTTCCATATTTTATACATTCAACATTACAAGATGTCTTATATTAAAGGTGACGCATAGATTCGAAGTATCTAGGCTATCAGAACTCCACTAACATTTATCTGTGGAATTTCATCATAGACTGACATGAGTTAGAGGAACATTGGAAATCTGGGAGCACTGGACAGCTGTTTCATATTACCTTGGGACTCCTCAGTAGTGTGCACCCATGACCCCACACTCCTAGGGGTCAAAACCAGGACTTTCGGGTTCCGTGGACAGTACGTTACCATTCAGCCACTGGCACAGAATCTAATGGTCAACATTTCCTACTTCTGCCGGTTCACGATACAGCTAGATCTACATCCAATGTCGTCATTGAGTAACTGTCTTCATGTTGGATTTGGTTGACTCCACTAGTCACTTCTCATTGAAACATCGTGAATCATCTCTCGAAGCTAGTCACTAATAAGCGCTAGATTAATTCTGTCTGGAGGTTTATTGATTGATTTAGGTTGAAATTCATCATGAACTGACATCAGTTGGATGTAGGTTGCGCTATGTCGGGAAATGACAAAAGTAGGAAATATAGGCCACCGCACTACGACCCAGTGGCTCAATGGTAACGTATTGGTCACGGGACCTGAAGGTCGCGGGTTCGATCCCCGGTGGGGTCATGGGTGCGCATTGCTGAGATATCCTATGCTAGGACGAAACAGCTCTCTAGCGCTCTCGAGTTTCAATGTTCCTCCAACTGATGTCAGTCCATGATGAATACCAACCTAAATCAATTAATAAATCTCTACCAACCTCCAGATAGGATTTATCTCTGGACTTGTAGCTTAGTGGTCCATCAACCGGTGGTCGTGAGTTCGAGTCCAGCCCCACCTATCGAAGTCTAGCCAACCAGATAGTATTACGAGGCTCCACACAATAAGTATGGATCATTGCCTGCTGTACGGATGGGCACAGGGTGGCTTAGTGAGTCATTTCTTCCTATTTAGGACTAAATTCCTAACGTGTATTACACTCGATGTAAATACTAACTGATATATAGTTGTATTTCATTTTACTTAAAGAAAAGATAGATTGAAATGCGTATATCGATAAGAAGAAAAATAATTATCATAACCTTAGTTACCCATCTTTCGTTATATCCGCAGCACTGGCAATACAGTTAACTGATAAATCATTATAATTCTCTTCATTGAATAAACGTAAATATCTGATGACAAAATCTTTTGGTGTCATATATAATTGTCCATTGGCATTGATACTGGCATACTGCAGGATAAATGGAAATATCAATAAACACAAGACGAAATCTGAGTACTGTAAAAACAATATCATAAAAAGCATCAATACAAAACAGAGAAACAAATAGTGAAAGAAATGAGAATCAAAATTCACCAACAAGGTTTTGTGTAAATGTGTGTAATAGGCAATGAACTATACATCTATTGTATGAGGGCTGATGACACGATCTGATTGCCCAAACCTCAGTAGACGGGACGGGGCTAAAATCTGTGATACATCGGTTGAAAGTTAACTCGTTACACTAATAAGTCCAAGCTCTATTTATAAATTCGACTTTGTTATCATTATCACTATTTGTTATCTGGTTGAAGAACATTCAGACTAGTCAGTGGGACATAGTATTCTAAGGTAATTAGTTGGCTATGGAAATGTGTTATCCAAAGCTGATAGTGTGTTAGTAAAAGCTTTCAATGGCATTTCATTGATTCTCTTTGTTAGTGCGAGCTGCCAAATAGTCTAAAGCTGATGTTCTAAGTCTTTTCCTTGGAATACTTCTTTTAATAAATTATAAGTTCTTTTCTTGACACTTCGAATTTATTTTGACTATCTCAGATAGCCATGGTTTGGCAGACTTGTATTCATATAGGTCTGCTAAACCACAGCTATCTCAGATAGTCAAAGTAATAATCAATATGATGCTCCGCCTCTCTAATTCAGTTAGATTTGGATTGAGATGAAAAGTCCAGACTGACGGGGGAGCCAGTGTGAATACGATTAAGCGGTAGTAACGCGTCACGAATTCACATGGTTATCGGGCAAAACCCTTGATAGTTGAAGTAAATTAAAAATATACTCGAAAGTCGACGTCGTAGCTCAGTTGGCAGAGAACTAAACCGGTAACCCGATAGCCGCTGGTTCAAATCCCGTTGCGGTCCAAATTTTCATTTCATCTCCAATCATCACCCAGTATCAATTCGACTTAAGCTTAATAATCTTACTATTATTGTTTTTGATCGTACAAATATATAAAATATGGTTTGATCATTTGTTAATAAAGCCATCAGGATAAAATGCCATATGTAAAAAGTTAGTTTTCATCACGGACTGACATCAGTTGGAGGAACACCGGAAACACCGGAGCGCCGGACAACTGTTTCGTTCTATTATGGGACTTCTCAGCAGTGAGCACCCACTACTCCGCCAGGAATCGAACCCGCGACCTTCAGGTTCCCTGACTAGCACGTTACCATTGAGCCAGTGGTCTATATTTCCAACTTCTGTCAGTGCACGACATATTATGACTATCACTCAGTGTCATCGTTGAGTATTTGTCCTCACGGTCCCATACTAGGATGAAACAGTTATCCAGTGCTCCCAGGTTTTTAATGTTCCTCCAACTGATGTCAATCGATGATATCTCTAAATCCGCACAAACCCCTAAATATGTCATTATTCATAAACAAAATGGACAAAAGTATGCATTAAAAACATGAACAAGAAGGTATGGACTCATTCTAAGACAATATGACATGAATGACCAAGTAAGTAGACAGAATAAATCAATAAAAAGAAAAACATTATGCGAACCTTATTAAAAACTGATCGAAGGCTCTCGGTATCAGTTTTTGAATGGACTGCCTGAAGACAAAAAAAAATGCATTAAAATGAGAATAGAATTTTAGCACTATGGTAAAATATAATTTAACTGTAGTTCCCATTATATACATCACACTTAGTGATGATATTTTGATCAGAATTCATTGTTCATAATCATATCATGGTAATCACGCAACTTTCTAGAATAGTTTTTATAGTTCTATTGTTTTTTTATTCTCTAAATGATAGTATCATCATCATCATCAAGATCAACATTGGACCAGACATTACTGCGTAACAGTCCAACTTGCCACATCTCATATGAAAACATCAAGTAACAAAGCAACAAAATGGAAGGCGAAGAAGGAAAGAAAGTTGGGCAAAAGGAAGTGGAAGTAGAAACTAGTCAAACAGAAGAAAAAAGAATGAGAAGATGGCGAGATTAAGTATAGCGATTAATGTGAGGATAATACATGTATGCATTTGTGTCACTGACATCGGTTCTGACCCATATCACCTAGAGTGTCTAACCATTGGTTTCTCTTGTCCCGTGGATCCCAATCGGCTTGTGCGCATCACTCTGTATGGCTTAAACGAAAGGTCAAGGACTTCATGCACTGATGCCCCAAGCCTTTTCCCATCTAAACTAACTTTGGCCAGCATTGTGCGACGAGGTAGACGGTGGCTAAGCATACTTAACACATACCCCAACTATCTCGGTTGATGAAGGTTCACAACCCTACCAACTGACTCACCTCACCTCACCTCCCTAAAACTCTACATCTGACTTCTGAGTTATTCACGTGAGGACACCACGAAACACGGCTTATGCTAGGAGGGCAACAGTGTTCAAACACCTGAAGCCTTCTCATGTCTTCCACCTTCGATGGCCATCTTTCATAGCCAAACAGTAGAACTGAGCGGACTACATCACAATACACTCGACCATTTACAAATAAGTGGATATCTCGGCGGTTCTATAGATGGTGTAAGTTTGCGAAAGCCAACCGAGCCTATTGTATCTGTGAAGAGATTTCATTGGCCACTGAGCCACCAGGCCAGTGGTGATCTGACTTTCCAAGTGGGTGAAGTGTTCAATGCACTCAAACATTTCACTTTCTATTGTTAGTCGGGGGACCGTGGAATTTTCAACACTTCTGGAATAGGTATAGTATCATTTCTATTATATGCATCAGTTGGCGATTAGATAAATAAGGCTTCAGTCATCAGTCTTTCTCTCCACCTAAGCAACTCATTTTTTAAGTTTGCTATCCTGTACCATTCTATTGTGCGTGTGAGGTAGCATACATAGCTATGGCTGGAATCTTTTCCACATTTCTTATTTTGCTGAGGTCTGCCATTCTGTCTAGCTTATTTTTTTATGTTCTGTTACCCTAACTAACCCCAGTCGACTAGTTTGACCTCATAGTCATCACATGGAATTTGATAGACTAAATTGTTCTGTTTTTAATACATTCGATAGAATACTTTGGCAGTAGTTTTTCTCTAAATTAATTTGTGGGTTTAAATGTCACTTTAATTCCAGTGCACATATATAGATGCAGATTTACGGTGTTGAAATCAAAATATTTTGACACATAAACGCAATAATTGATGCATCCCAATTGACAAATGAACTAGGACGTGACGAAAGAGAACTAGGTTGAATTACGTAATCAAACGAAATCAAGACGAAAGTTTCTATACTAGTGTCCACAAAACGTCACACTAATCAATACTTAGACTTTAGTTTGTCGTATCTAATATCACTTAAAGCAGACTTGATCAAATGCCTTAATAACAGGGCATGAAGAAAGACTAATAAGGCTGAAAAGCTGTGCTAACAAATAAAACACATGACGGATGTATTACCACCCAACCAAATCCGTGAGTTCATCTAGAAACACATAGGGAGTAGCAAGAAAAATACTCAAAATAATACGACTCCAGATACAAATAATGTTAATAGTGACTATGAGGTCAAATACATAGGTTAAACTACCTGTACGTAGAAATTTAGCTAGACAGAATGGTAGACCTCAGTAAAATAAGAAATGTGGAAAAGATTCCAGTCATAGCTATGTATGCCATCTCACACGCACAAGAGAATGGTATAGGATGGAGAGAAAGACTGATGACTGAAGCCTTGTTTATCTAATCGCCACCCGATGCATATAATAGAAATGATATCATACCGATTTTGGATACATGTAAAGTTGTACCACCGGTGAAATCGAAGAATGACAGAACTATGAAAACGATGCTAGAAAGTCGTGTGATTATCGTGATATGATTATGAACAATGTCATCAGTAAACAATAGTTTCCTTGGGTGGTACACAAAGAAGCATAATTGAAAAAAACATCCAGGGATAAAATAGCAAATTCAACTTGAAGAAATAAAATCTAAACTATCCGAATACCAAGTAGATAACATATCAAGTCCAAATCGGGATAGATGTATAGACGGTTGTGATGAACGCATACTCTCGTGTAAGACCACGCTTCTTCGGTGCCAGAACGAAACTAATAGGCAGAATTAATCTACAATCGAGTGATTATGAGCCTTGTGTCTACACTGCATGGAAAGTATTTCGAGTTATGCTGATACGAATGCTAATCAGTGACGCATATCTGTCAACCAATTTGTTTTCTCTTTCTCCGTTACGATACCAGCTACAAAACTAGTGAACATCAGGAGGCAACGGGAAGCTGTTCCCGGTCTTCAAGTCTACAGCGGTATAGGTATATGTAACTTACATTTTGCAGCAAGCTTAGAATCGATATCATTGGTGCAAATGGGTCCGAATATTATCATCATCTTAATTGACATATCACATTTAACTATAGTTTTCATCCCGTCTTCCTTTCCGTGACTTCACTACGTGCTCCCCACCATTTCTCGCTTTAATCTTGATATAGTGATGTGAACTGCGGCAAAATGGGTCATTATTTGGTTATTAATTGTCTCAGTCAGATGACTGCTTACCCATAAAATAACAATTAGGCAATGCAGTGGTATGTTTACGCAGTTGTGATTTGAAGAAATTAACATTGAGGCGAAGAAAGTGGATGGGGACTGACATTTCTGTCGCCGATACTTTTCAAGTGCCGTGCAATGTATGTGGTTAATAGATATACAAATCAATGTAGAACCTTGGACACAAAAATATTGGTTCAAATCATCGCAGTTAAAAACACCACACAAACAAATAGGGAATATAAAGAAGAGGATACTGGAAAGACAAAGGTAGAGAATAAATGAGTGGAGGTAAGTAGAAACGTTTGACTTTAAAGTATATCCATATAAAATATCGTGAATGATCAGCTATATCATCAAGAGTCACTAACCATCGACTGCTATCAATTCATGGACCACAGTAATGCGACCGAAACTTTCTCACACAGTTAATACTATAACTCATTAACCTTTAGGATGAAGTTGCTGGCTACATCTGATGCTTGAATGATAGTGATATACTCACTATCTGAACCTCGTTATGAAAGATCGAATAAAAACAGATGAGTCATTAAGTAGACGTGAAGTTTTTAAATCAGTACCATGGAAATCTAATAAGGGAAAACTAAATTGTGGACCGTAAAGGTCAACAGATTTGAACCCGAATAGCTATTTGTTCCCTATTACTGAGAATTTAAAAGGAATGAAAGTGTTTATGGTGATCCCATGATTTCCTATTCCCCTCAATTTTACATCTTTAAAACGTTGTACTATATTGTGTGGCTATTTTAGTGGACCAAGATAACGCTTTCAACACAGCAACTGGTACTAATCCTAACAATACAAGCAGCCACATTCCCAATCAGCACATCAATACCGAAGGTAGTACCAGTCAGAACAAAGGAATAAAAGTGGTATACTCAAGAGCCCAAAAAAGCTGTAAAAAAAGAAAGGAACTTAAGTGGATAACAAAGTGTCATACCTCTCTGGGAAGTCGGATCAGCCCCGATAGACCAAATCCCTGCACGGAAATAAAAGACTTGGTTGGATTGATCTCCATTTATTACTTCACTATAATATCTGATTGCCTACTTGGGGCTGCAGTTTGCTCTGTCCCATTATATGACTGCGAAACATCCCCATTAAATGTAGACACGAGAAGGCTTTAGGTGTTCGACCACTGTTGCCTTCGAAGCATAGGCGTTGCGTTGTGGGAGCACTGAGTCAGTAACGTAGAAGTCAGGTGTAGAGTATAATGGAGGAGAGAGTCAGTTGGTGAGGCTGTGAACCTTAACCGACTCGGATGGTTGAGATGTGTTACGCATGCTTACTCACCACCTCCTTACCCCCGCTACACAATGCTAGCTGGAATGGGTTAAGGCAGGAAGAAGTTGGATAGTCATGAAGTCTTTGACTGTTGGTCTCAGCCCTCTAGGGAAATGATTTCTCAGTCATGGTCCACTAGACGACAGAAACCAGTGGTTGAAGACTCAAGGTGACATGGCGCAAAATCGGTCTCAATGGTGCGTATGTATCTTTATCTTAGTCGGGAAACTGAATCTCCGTATTCTTTCGTCAATCTTTGTTCCCTTTTTACAACTCCCTACCACTTTTGACTGCCTTCTCCTTATTTTTTTTAATCTTTCATCTGAATTTATTCCCTTTTGATGTCCTGATATGAGGTGTAGCAACTTGGACTACTAAGTAGTAACAACAGGTTCTATATTTATACCGTTTGTCTCTATTTCTGATGAGCATAGTATACCGATTTTCCATCAGAAATAAGTGATAACTGAAAAGTTATCTGATGGAAGGTTTTTTCAATAGCGATAGTGAAATAATAGTGGTTAGCCTCCGAAGAGTAGGAATTCAGAACTCATCAGAAGAGCGGAATATGTTTCCAAGGCTTAAAAACCCACCTAGTATTCGCTAATTTACATGAAGCAGCCAAGTATATTCTCAACAAAGTCATCTGTTGGCTCTACGTTGCTGTAAAATAGTATTGCTCAGCGCAAAAAAGTGGGTATTGAAACAGTCAAGTTAGACAGTGTGGATGCATCCAGATGTTAGAAGCAAATCCATGGGTAGTCAGACGAGATATAACCTACTCGTACCATGAAACACTTACTTGGATCGTTAAGGCATGGAAACGTGAAGGATTACAGAGGTTTCAACATGAAACATTCAAACCACAGGAATAATTCAGATTTCCTTACGTCTCCCAAGGCTAATGGCAGGCAGGGAAATAGATTAACACAAACTTATGTTATTTGAGTTCTTGATACAAAGTTGTAGGAGCAGAATGAAATAGTAATTAGCTTTGATGTGCAACAGTAGCGTTCGTGATGCATTCTTACTTTTCACGATTCCTTAGTTTATTTCATTTAAGGACTAACTTTATTGCTATTTATTCTACCAGCCCGAGATTGCCAAACTGTAGCATTACTCTGCTCGCAGGCGGTTTATAAATACTAACTGTTCTAATCAGTGAAATGAATAAAAGTCTGACACTATGGCAAAGTCAGTCCTCAGTTATTTAGATTTGTCAACAGAACAACGTTTCACATCCAAAATTATCTAGATATGTTGGAAAACTCAGATGTACTCTGAAAACGCAATACCCATTTGATACTTAAGATAATTACTCATTGCAAGTGGCATCTTTGCTTTGTACAGCCACGTTTTATTGAAAGTTGATTTTCATAGTGATTTACAAGTTCACACGTCACCTAAAGAAGTTCGAGCAACCAGTGTCATAGGCAGTAACACACCAAAGACTTGTTCCACTGCCTAGTGTGTAAAATGGGCTTGGCCATTAACTTACGCTTACTGACTATTAGCAAAGTACTTTAGAACCAAGATGCGAGCAACAAAGTAATACCTTCGAAAGGCAATCATTATGTTAACAGATGGAGTTAGCAGTTCAATTACTATACGATCGTTGCTGAAAAGGAGACCTACCATGTGGCTTTTGCTGTTTTGTAACTGAATAAGGACAGCTTGCCAATCTGCAATAAGATGTCAGACTTCAGACAGCTGGAGTTAGGCTAATGGTATAGTACAAGTGTGGACGCTTCAGTGTTTCACTGTAGGTGCGAGTTCTTTCTTCCTGATTTTCGTAATTTCATGCAACAATTATCAAGTGAAAATCCTAACATACCGAAAACTTAGAGTACCCAATTTGATAATATTCGAGAAATGAAGGGGCAAAATAGGGAATATAGGGGAAAGGTAGGTAGTGATGGGGAAGTTGTATAAAAAAGTCTGAATAGGGTGGGGGAAAGCGACTTTGAGGGCTAAAGTAGATATGTAGGTCGATTGAGGAAGAAAACTAAAAAAAGGAGAAAATGAGACAGCTGAAGGGAATATGCGTATAAAGGGGAAAACAGTTTCATTTCCCCACGATTTTCACTTTGTTTCCTTTACATACGCCTTATTTCATCCTTTTTGGTCTGCACGGGTAGGACGATTTCTTCGGGTTTTGTCAATTAAAGAAAATTAACATGATTTGGCCTGACATTAAAATGAAATAATCTAAGGTCAAAAAAGAGGTCGTTGAGAAAATGCGCAACTCTTCAATTGTATGACAAACTGTTGGACGTGTCCAGTCTTTTTCATCCACACGCACACGAATTAGTAGTTTTGAATGACAAAATTGGTTATATTTTTGTGATTGGATTCAAAACATTGTCGTCAGTAACACATTCAGTCTCAATGTATCCGAAAAGATGTCGGAAAATGACAACTCACCATGTGCAGATGGACTGACCGCCTTACTGCGACCCTTGTCTAGGTTAGTGGTAATTTGCTGCACGAAAACAAACTATAAGCTTTCACGAGAAAAAGCAGTACTAGGTTATCGATATTTGTGACTTTCAATTTACGCTTTTGATTCAAAAGAAAGGGTTGAAATTTGTGGCTGCATCACTCACGACCTAAGTGTTCAAAAATGAGAACAATCAGGTAAAAGGCAGCAATAATCCTTGGAATTGGTAATACTTGGTGGACAAAATCTTTGATGTCAGTAACAGAAGGCACGCCTGCCTTTTTATGCATTGCGGTGTACCATTCTTCATAAGTTGTTGTGATGAAAGGATTTCTAAAAACAGACGACTTAAGTTTTTAGACTTTGATGATAAACTCTCAGACAAACGGCTCCAGACAAAATCAACGGGGTTGATATAACAGCCTATCAAACTGCTATTGAAGATTTAGCCCGCCTGATTACGATAATTTGGAGCGCGTTTGAATGACTTCCAAAGGTGGCCTAACTGTGAGGTATATCTTGCCAAACTGGTCAGCCACATTGGTTTCGTGACCATCTAGGGCTTCTGCAGCGTGCTGATTGGTTGGTTCTTGCCCAAGAAAGCTGGGGTTTTGAAAGATGTTTTCGCTGCCTCTTCTATCATGAGTTGAGAGATATTGTTGGTGTATCAGGCTATCCAGTTTATTCGGAATTTATCCCATTTTTTACATGAGTAGAATGACTGGCTGACTGTTTTACATCATAGTGTTTGTTTATTGCTCTTCTCATGACTGCTTTTGGGTGAGAAGGTTGTTGAAGAGTTTTTTAACTGTTCTAAACCACCCCTTTATGCTTGAAGCAGATTATTAAATGTTATACAGATAACAGTTAATGCTGTAATCAACAAGTTAATTTTTGCTATTTTACGCTGGTAATATGATGCAGATAGAAATGATGGCGAACCCCATAATATGTTATGTCTGTGTCTTGGAATTATCTCATTAATACATGTCGGGTCATCGAAGTCTGGTGCTGATACGTCATTGGGGGAAGCTGCAAAGCAGGTATCTGTAGATATTTCCGAACGTTTTTATGCAGCGAAATCTAAGAGATTCACTGCGTAGAATGAGGTTAAAGAAGCTTTGGAAGAGTTACTGGTGGTGTGCGATGCAGTATGAGGCAGTTACTTGCGGGATGGAAACGCGCATTACGTTGTCACAACGTTGAAACTAGACAGGGCAGTCTCGGAATCTTATTCCAAATTTGTAGCATTTAAATGTATATTTGGATACAAACAGGAGTCCCAGGGGTACGATTACGGCTGGAAGGGTAAGGCAGCATGGTCCCTTTATTTCTTCATTATGGTTATGAGTGAACGTGGCTGTCCCTAAAGGTTAGCGGTTATCACAGGTGTTGTAACGGAGAACATAGCGTACCGTGTGCTTGTGGCTAGCGGTCAACTGAAGTTTCATTACCTGCATGCAGCTAAGAAAATTTTCAAAGGTTTGCTTTTCTTCCGATTGGCAAGTGGAGCTATACCGGAGGTTCGTAAAGTTGGATGCTTGCGTGCAATCCACAATACCAGTAACGTCGGATAAACGGAATTGGCCGGCTTTATGCCGATTTAAGCTTTCTTTGCACCATTTTGTCTCAGATGATAGCTTTGGAAAGGGTCACCCAATGTTTTTTGCATGCACAAAGCTAGAGTCAGTGGATGATCTCATTTGGACTTTGAATTCATCTAGATGACTAGTGAGCGATGCATCGAAAACCGGGACGTTTATAATGGATTTTGCGCAAAGCAAAATATCGGGCGTGCAGGTAAGCTGACAGCGTATGCCGGGGGACATTTGCACGAAGATTTCGATTGCAGAAGGTCAACCATTTTCGACACGAAGAATTCGTGTCGGAAAGTGGCAAGATGTGTCACATGAGTTACGCAAAAATTAAGTGCGCTTGCACATCATACAACTCGCGGTGACTGTCATGCAGATATATGATACTGTTACATAAGCAGTGAAGAGGGTTTACGAGTTTGTTTTTCCCTTTTTCAGTACCTCCCACTTTCAGCTGACCGTTTACTGCATAGTAGCAGTGGGTGATTTGTGAGTCTAACCTCCATGTCAGTTGATAACATGAATAAGGCACTGAGATGCAGATCACTTTCCTCGTATGCACGAAAACGCAAATGCCTGAATCATATGATGCAGCGGCACTATAACCGCACGACGTAATCAGCCACGGAATATAAAAAAGCATGGGGAGCAAGTGGTAGCTTTGTCAACCTTCAAGCCTTTCTGCATTGCTACGGGTCATATGTCTAGTCTCGTCTCCTTTTTTCCTTTTAGGTCCTGAATTCCCCTAATTGCAGCCTGATGACTTGAAATGCGGAAAGTGTGGCCTGCGTTTCTGACGCTTCTAAAGTTGTTGCTTACTGCACATGTGTTAAAATATTCTTTTCATATCTGGAGTACGATTTTCTTTCTTCCGCGGGATTTTAACTGCAAGGACTTTGTACGACTACTTGGGCTTTCGGATCATATTTTATAGTTATTTGCAGCCACTATTATGCCGACTTGATAAACCTGCCACATTTGGGGACGAAACGCTACATTACGACTGCCCGTAAGTTAGAAAGATGTGACGGTCCCTTATGAAAACATTCTGGGCGACTAATAAAGACGAAACCACGCAGCTAACCTGGCAACCGAACGCTCCACCCCCTCCCTTAGAATTGGACATTGAACCGAATAGTTAGATTTACGTACACGGTTATGGGGGTTGATTGGGTGATCAAATGAGTTGTGAACTGTGTGTAGACGACTTTTGTGTCATTCTTCTTCCACTGCTGAAGCGGTTGGATATCTGTGTGTTACATTCTCCGTCCGCTGACTTTTGAGTAAGCGAAATCCCCGAGACATTTCACCAGCTGGCTGTGTACGCCCCCTCATCTCATTTGCCCTGACGTCACCTGGGTTATCTGTCGGAATGAAGAAGGAATTATGCGGTAGTGGCCATTCAGCTTGGTTTGGTGAAATCCGAAGATATATCACATAGTGTGAGGCATAGCGCTAAGCGTAGGCTTGGGTTGGTGTCAGTACCGAAGATTGCTTTTGAACATGCGGGGCCGTCGTCTTGATCCTTCATGAAATGCTCACCTTAATGGATAGTAAGACATAACTTTAATGACCTACTTCTGTACTTCTCGCGAAGGATTGTGCAGTATTGGAGAATGCAGTGCACTGTGAATAAGATTTACTCACTCAAGGCCACTTACACGACCTACGAGATTGCGTACACAGATGGAAGGAAAGTAGGAAGTTCTTGACAGTGGTTTGGGCAGTTACTTTCTTTACTAATTATTCTTGACGGTACTTTTATTCTCACCGTCAATACCACCATTGTGCCTGGCTAATTATTGTTCAACACACTGTAGTAATATTCATGGTGGACTTATGAGACTTCGTGTGATTGGGGTTGACGCTTTGGGAATCGCTGAGACCGCGTGATAAATCTCGGTGTCTTTCCATGTCTGAGAAGTTAGCCGTTAAAAGGAGCTAAGATTAACGGAAATCCAGGGTTAGTGGACCTAAGATCACGAAATTTGTGGATTAGTGTGATGAAGTGCGCATATTTTCGGTATGATGCGGACAAAGTTGAGGCAGTTATAGAGAATCAAGTAAGTTCTTCAGGAAATGTGGACTAATTGGAACATTTTTCTTATGGTTCTCCGAAGGTCTTATATTAACTTCTCCGACAAATTCACCTCATCTGCACCAAGTTTTCTTCCAACACTGAATAACTGAATTTATATAGTTTGTACAGGGCTACTACATTGCACGGATGTCTGTCATACATTTGCAGGACAGGAAAACCACGTAGTTAGGATAGGCGTTTTCGTAACCGTACTTTCCACCAATACTTGTTTAGCATGGACAGGATACATTAATACAAACATACAAGTCCAGCCAACTTACAGGAGCCTAAAACATCCCGGCTGGGATAACACTTCTTCAGAATATCCTTTCCACTTTCAACCCGCTGCCTGCCTATTCGAACAATAAATGCGGGTGGTAGGCAGGCTTTACGAGTTACTGAATATCGCATCTATAAAGGTACGGACTGGAAACTGCCCAAAGAGTTTCTTAGGTTATCCCCACGGGACGAAAATTTTACCACTGACTCACTGACAAGCACGGTATCCCTTTTTTACAGGAATGTTAAGTTGTGTCTGGATACTGCTGCTCCTGTGAAAACAGCAAAACTATATCACCACCCAGAATACATTCCACCCGTATACCACAGAAAGCTCAGGCGACTGTCGAATATGTACCACTCCACCAAGGATCTCTCCTCACTGCACGCGATCCACGATGCCCCAGAATCATTCAAAGGCTTACGTGCACAAACAGCCTGGAATGATGAGTTACGAGCCCCTAGAACTAGTCCCAAGGCACACAGTCTAACATCACTTCTGAAGAAGCGCCTTCATACAACATGGGATATACAATACTTGCTTCATAACGAGGTAGTCTACAGCAACCAGATCTTACCCCATGTCAAAGACGGACACGTGTTTCGAAACCTTATAATGTTCCTCTGGTAACTTCATCGAAACCAGTGGCCACCGGAAGCTTACTGGCGCCTGGGAGTCAGCTCCTCACACCAGATGACATTGTAAGTGTGGATCAAAAAGGCTGATGGAGCATATTGTTGCAAGCACATCAGTTGCTACTGTTTCACCATCCAACATGGTGGTAAACACCGAAACTGAAGGTCAAATCTCCACCAGTTATGTAGATTTATTCTCAGATGATGTCGATATGGATGGCAACAGTAATGATACGTCAGATATGCACCTGATTCCCCTGAGTTTGTCTGTGAAACCTTCATTCCCCAGGTGCAGTTGCGCTTTTAAGCCCTTACCACCCTCAAATAACATGCTGACCTCTGGGTGTATTGACAATGCACAGTCACAAAGTGCCATGTTTCGAAAATCTAAACCTAAAAGTCCTAGTTCGAGTATACCGCCAAAGCCAGTGGCACAGAAACGTTTTA